TACGTCATAGGAAGATTCCCCTGCCACCCAAGCGTTGAACCAGAATGAAATCACATTGGGCTCCTTGGACGCTTATCAGAAGTCCTACAAGAGGAGTTTGGCCAAGCTGCCCAAATGAGAACTTCCTGCCTTACTAAAGTAGATCTTCTCCTGCCATGTTTTGCTGCAGAGCAAGAATGAGATCCTCAAGTAGATTTTGAAAGGCATAGAAAGCATCCCTAGATGGAAGGAGGTCATAATCCACCAAGGAGCATTTGCAAGTGTGAAGCTAAAAGCAGTGGCTTCTCGTGAGAAAGACCCTAAAGCTGGATCAGGCTGAAGGCCCAACTAGTCCGGCATCTTGTTCTCATAGCAGCCAACTAGAGAGCCAGTGTGGTGCAAAGTGTTGGACTAGGACCTGGGAGACAGGGGTTCAAATCCCTACTGGGTCATGAAGCTCACAGGTTGACCTTGGGCCAGCCGGTCATGGTCTCACAGCCTAAACCTATCTTGCAAGATTGTTGTGAGGACAAAATGTGGAGAAAGAGTAGTATGAACTACAGCACCTTGAGCTCCTTGGAGGAAAGGTGGGGTTCAAAGTGTTTCTCAAAATTGGGTCTCCAGCTGTTGCAGGACTACAACTCCCATCATCCCTGATCACTGGTCCTGCTAGATAGGAATGATGGGAGTTGTAGTCCAATAACAGCTGGAAACCCAAGTTTGAGAAACACTGCAAACTAACCAGATGCCTATAGGAAGCCTACAAGCAGGACTTGAGCGTAACATCTACTCTCCCCACCTACGATTCCCAACAACTTCAGAGGCAAAGGGAGAACATAGTGTTATCCTCCCTGAACTAATCTAATTACCTTATAAAGCCATCCAAGTTGGTGACCATCACTAGAGCTTGTGGTAGTGAATGCTATAATATAACTATGCACTGAGCAAGGAAGGACTTCCTTTTGTCTGAATCTCCGAACATTTAAAGTCAGGAGGCAGCCCGGTGGCTCAAGGCTTCATATTTCCTATCAGTTTCTTGTTTGTGCAAAGGCAGTTGCTTTTACTGCATTGCATTTGGTATGAATACCTATACACACAGACACACACACACACACACACACACACACTAAACTACGTTGGAATAGCGTCAACCTCTCGTGGTTGGGCAGGATGGAAGCAATAAAAATGAACATACTACCCAAGATGCTGTTCTTATTCCAAAACATCCCAGTTATTAGAGGGCCCAAAATGTTCAAAGACTGGCAGAAAACTCTCTCGAGATTTATATGGCAAGGAAGAAGGCCAAGGATCAGATTTAAATTGCTTACAGACAGAAAAGAGAGAGGAGGGCTTGCGGTACCTAATCTAAAACTGTATTATGAAGCAGCCTGCCTATGTTGGGTTAAAGATTGGATAACCCTGGAGAATACTGCTTTACTAGACCTAGAGGGGGCAGACAACAGGTTTGGCTGGCATGCCTACCTCTGGTTAAACAAAGGAAAGGCACACAAAGGATTCTCGAATCACATCATCAGAGGCCCTCTATACGAAGTTTGGGGGAAAAACAAAAAACTGCTAGAATGGAAAACACCTTGGTGGCTGTCCCCAACAGATATCCTATCAATTAAGAAAATAAACTTGGAAGAACAAAGACTGACATATGAAGACTTATTGGTAAGATCTCAAGATAGTTGGAAATTAAGACCATATGAGGAGTTGAAGGAGAAGTTGAAGGGCTGGTTACAGTATCATCAGATCAATGCATTATGGACAGAAGATAAAAAATTAGGAATGAATGAAAAAAAATCCAAATTTCAGATTGAAATAATTGAAAGTAAATCTAAGTTATTATCTAAAATGTACAACATACTATTGGAATGGGACACAAAGGATGAAGAAATTAAAGAAGTCATGGTCAAGTGGGCGATAGACCTGGGGCACAACATAGAATATGAGAAATGGTCAAAATTATGGAACGAGGGAATAAAGTTTACGGCGAGCGCTGCAATTAGAGAAAACTTAGAGAAGATGATATATAGATGGTATTTAACACCGGAAAAATTAAGTAGGATTTACAAGTCTGGAAATAAGGCCTGCTGGAGATGCAAAACAAAAGAAGGTAATTTTATACACATGTGGTGGACATGTGAGGAAACGAAAAAATTTTGGAACCAGATATATGACGAACTAAAAAAAATACTTAGATACACATTCCCCAAAAAGCCAGAGGCCTTTTTACTAGGGATTGTCGGAAAAGAAATACGGGAAAAAGATAAAACTTTATTTCAATACTCAACAGCAGCGGCCAGAATGTTAATCTCCCAAAATTGGAAAAACACAAACCCACCAACGGTGAGGGATTGGCAATTAAAATTATACGGCTTCATCGAACTGGCAAAGATGACACAAAGAATCAGAAATCAAAAAAATGCAAAGTTAAATGAAGAATGGAATAAATTTATGGCTTATATTGAAGGCAATTTTAGAAACCTACCAACTATGGCAGGTATGTTATAAAACTTCCGATGTATAAACTAAAAACCAATACCAGCTGTAAAGTAAAATGTTTAAAAGTGGAAACCAGAAACAAGTAGGGAAGGAAGTAGATGTTGTATGTTATTAATTTTTCTTTTTTGACTCTTTCTGTGCTCTCTTCCTTTTTTGCCTTTTTTTCCTCTTTCTATTTTTCTTTTTAGTGCCTTTTTTATGTCAATTCACTACGGTATTATGTGAATTGTATTTTTTGTCTTTTCTCTTTAAATGTATTTGCTTACATATTTTTTTATCCTTTTGTTGGTGTATGATAAAGGAAACTTAATAAAAAGAATTAAAAAAAAAAACTACGTTGGAAGCCATTTGGATGAAATATTTTAATTTAAGAAAACCATGTAGGAAATATATTACTCAGCCACCCTGATGACTCAAGATGAAAAGGTGTCCCCATGTGCTTCAGAGATGAGCCCAGTCACCTTGGGGCACAACACAAACTCAGAAAAGTGGATTTCCTTGTGAACAACAACAACACATCCTTCCTTTCCTCCAGCCCTGAACTGTCCACAGCTGGACAGCCCAGAGACACCCGCAGAAGCAGCAGCAGGAAGAGAGGGCAGGCTTCCCCTTTCCGCAGGAAAAGCAAACATGGAAGGCAGGGTAAAAGAGCATGGTGGCAGTGGAATGAATCTGGAAATCCTGGAAACTTGATTCCCAGCACACTTTTTCAAAAAACAATGCACAAAGCATCTGTTCACAGGGAGTTCATTTAAGCCAGTAGCCATAAAAACAAAGGAGCTGGAATGAATCTGTTTACAAATGTTGTGGGTGGGTGGGAATGTTAGTTAGACATTTACAATCAAGAAGCCTGATGCTTCAACTCAATATCTTATGCCAAGTCAACTGTGGGACCCTTGTGGCCACCGCTGGCTCCCCTGCCTGCACGAAACTTATTTGCCATATTCGCTGTGCTGTCTCCTCCGAACCCTGTAATTGGAACACCTACATTCCCAAGATTGCCAATTAGAGCATGGTCATATTTAGGGCACACCCATTTGGGACAGGGTCTGCACTGGGATGGAAGAGAACCTGACTGAATCATTCTGTCTCATTGACCAAAACTGTCAGCCTATCCAAAACTGAAGGGACATCTGGCTGTGCTCATTCCCCCATATAACCCCCTCTCCAAAATTTCTTTCGAGCGTCCAGAGCTCCCAGTTGAGGGTTCAGCACTCACATGAAGAAAATCCTCTCTTGGGGGAGGAGATTCATAACACACGAAGCAGAAACCTGAACCTGAGGGTATGAGCTCCCCCCACCCTGCAAATCCTGTAACACATCCAAACAACATGGGGCTGGTGTTGAAGATGGACACAGCCACATGCAGCAGCTGGCGGGGGGGGGGTAACCCGGACCCCCAAGCTCAGCTCTCAACTGGTCTTTGCCACTCACAAGACACGGAGTGGAAAACAGATCAGAATGGAAGGGGTCTTGCGGGAAGGCAAGGGATTTCTTGTCTTTATAACTTGGTCTTACTCTCAAAACCTTGGAGAATGTTGAAGGCCGGCATACCCTACCGTTAAGCAGGGTCAGGCTGCCCCAAGCGGCAGATTTTGGGGAACCTTTGCAGGGCACCCCCAGGCCAGCTGTTTAGCACAAAACTCTTTAGTGGTCGTCGGAGTTTTCTGTGATAACCATCGGCAGGGACGAGTCTGCGCCATTTGGGCTTCCTGCCTCAGGTACTAAACGGGGGGACACCCCCTGCCAAAGCGCCATGGAATCCCCAGGTATTATTCCAACTTTCCGCAAATTCTCCTGCCACGAGATTTCTCCCGCATCCTCTGACCCACACGGCGCTCATTCACACATTTGCTTCCGACGTGAAGAGTGGAGGTGGGAAAAGGCCTTCCGGAGACGTGGAGACCCCTGGGCCTGTTTTGTTGCCCCCCTCCCCGGCGTTGCTGGGCCGGCGCGCTTTGTCTCCGCGCGTCGGAAGCTGCACAGGACAAGGAGGTCCTCCCCACCCCCTCTGCCCTACCTGGGCGAGGCTGCACAGCGCGCTTCTAACCGCGAAGCCGGGGAGGGGACGCCTCCCTCCGCCAAGCTCGGTTTTCAAGCCCCCCGGCAACCGCGTCCGGACGCAGCGGCAGCTCCGCCTTTGCCGTCGGGGGGGGGGGAAGTTCCAAGGCGCGTTCCCCTGCGGGCAAACTTTCGCTGCCTCCCGGGACCGGTGAGGGGACCCGCTTGCCCGGGGGTCAAAAGGGTCTCAGCCCGCGCCCGGCGTGGGGGAGGTAGAAACGGGTCTTAGCTCTTTTTGCGCGCGCGCACCCGAAAAAAAGGACGCCTTCTTCCGTCGCGCGGGCAGCCGAGGAGTCGCGCGCCGGTTCGCAGCGTCCTACTCCGGCTGCTCCCGCTGGCAGGCGCTCGCCACGCGGAGCCGGCCAGGGTGCGAGCGCCGGGAAACAAAGCCGAGGCGGTGCCACCACCCCCTCGCCCCCCGCCTCGCTCCCTCCAGCCGCCGCCGCGCCCACCTGCTGCGCCCTGTCCAGCCGCGGCTTCGCCAGAGGCGCTCGGCTTGTCCCTCTCTCCGCCTGCCCGAGTCGAAGTGGCGGCGGCCGCGCCTGCTTCCCTGGCCTGCCCTCGCGGGGCGGAGCCGGAGCCGCCGCCGCCGCTGCCCACTAGGGAGGGGAGGGGGCCGCCGTCGCCGCCAAAGGGCCCGCCCAGCAGGAGCCCCCTGCCGCCGGCCCAGAGGCCTCCTCGCCGCGGCTTGGCCCGGCTTCTTCCTGGGCGCGGGGCAGGCTGCCCCCGGCCGGCCGGCCGGAGGGGCAACAGCAGCAGTCATCGCCGGGCGCCCCGGGACTGGATCAAGGCGGCTCCGCTGGCCCGACGGTGCCTGCCCTGACCTGGAACAGCAGCAAACGCAGCATAGAGTACAGCAGCCCCAAGGCGGTGGCGGGTGGCGGCATCGCTGGTCCCGGAGCCCGCAGTTCCACTGCCCTGGTGCGCTAATTCAGATCAAAGGCGCAAGAGGCTTCCGCTGTGGGTTTCTTTGGAAATGAGCCCCCCTATACCTCGAATTTAAATGGGGCTCATGTCCAAATAAGCATGCACAGGATTGCGGCTTTGATCTTATATTGCTCGTGGTTACACATATTATACTAAAAGTAAAGTTCCATTTAGGACAGCCGTGTCCCGTTTGAGGCCGCCCGATCCACTGGGACGACTCCAGTGGACTATAACATAAATAGAAGCATTCCCCGCTCCGATGCTGCTGGGTCAGCCCTGAATGCGGGCTCTTCCCGGGCTTAGCCTGATAAGTCGCATCAGACCTCTGCTGCCTCCCTCCTTGTTGCTCTGGGTTGAATTCCCTCGAGCCGGGCTTTCCTGCTTTACAAAACAAACAAAAACCGTGAAAGATTTAGCAACCCCCAATCCTCGTGGCTCCGATTCAAGTTGGAACTAGAATCGCTGCAACTCCGCTTCCATTTTTCCAAAAGGGCTCGTCCTCTTTTCAATGCAAAATGACAAGAATGTTCACAGCATCCCTAGAAACAAAGCATGGCAACCTGGGATGGTCCTGGTGATGACGCCAACACACAAACATGAACTTACCACAATAGGGAAAACACACCCATGCCAGAGAGACCCGCCTTGCAGCTGGTACCTGCTACTGTCTGTCTCCACTCACAGGGGGAACAGGGGACAAGGGACAGGGATCCCACAGCCCTCCTGGGCCAAGGGCTCAAGACCCACCCAGGGAAGGAAAGTCTTTTGATAAGGAGCCAATGGGAGGGACAGGAGACCCTACAACAGCAGCTGGAGCGTGCCTCCTGTTGGGCACTTGTCTGGGGAGCTGGGGATGGAGATGGAGCCTCTGCCCCCTACTCACCTTTGGCAGTCTGGGGGGGGGGAACCTCTAGTCAGGGGCAAAAGAGAAAGATCAAGGCCACAATACCAGCAGCTCCACAGGGCAGGTTCCTAATGGCGACAGCAGCGCACAGGACTCAGGCACTGAAGGAGGCTTTTGCTACTCCACCCCTTGCCCCACTGCCTTAACTCCTGATTATGAAGGGCTGGCACCCTGGAGAGGTAGAAGAGCTCGTGTTTGCCATGCAGGGGTCACAGGTTCCCATGCAGGATATGACCCCACACCAGGACACCCACCTTTCATTCATACGTACCTAAGCACATCAGGGGAGCACTGCATAGACCAACCTTCTGGCTCCTATATTTGGCCCACCACTCTCCCCTCACCCCATGACCACTTTCTCTTCTGTCCTATTGGCCAGCCCTGCTGGGCAGCATCTCAGCATGACTCTTCATTGCTTCCCACAAGTGATATGAGAAGCCTGCAGGGAACCTGAGAGGGGAGAGCAGGAAGTAACCCATAGTATTTAAAGGACTGGGGTACAGACCCATTACACCCACACCTTTGAATATCACCATGGTGCATCTGCAGCAGCACAACGGGACACCTTCATCTGCCCCAGCTGCAACAAAACATGTCTCTCCCACATCGGTCTCTGCAGCCACAGCCTCTGGGCAAATTAAGGTGGATGGTTGTGGTTTCAACTGCATTGTGTTTTGCGATTCACCCAGCCACCCTGGAAGAAAACTTGGGGGTTTTTTTTAATGGACACAATATTATGTTTGCTGACTGGGAACAGTTATGGACCACAGGTATGAAGTTTACGGCATGTAATGCCTTAAGAGAGAATATTATGAAAATGATATACAGGTGGTACATGACTCCAGTCAAGCTTGCAAAAATCTATCATTTGCCCGATAACAAATGTTGGAAATGTAAAGAAACTGAAGGTACATTCTTTCACCTTTGGTGGACGTGCCCAAGGATTAAGGCTTTCTGGGAGATGATATATAATGAAATGAAAAAGGTATTTAAATATACCTTCTTGAAGAAACCAGAGGCCTTTCTCCTGGGCATCGTAGGCCAATTGGTGCCAAAAAAGAATAGAACTTTCTTTATGTATGCCACGACAGCAGCAAGAACACTTATTGCAAAGTATTGGAAGACACAAGATATACCCACCCTGGAAGAATGGCAGATGAAGGTGATGGACTATATGGAACTGGCAGAAATGACCGGCAGAATCCGAGACCAGGGAGAAGAGTCAGTGGAAGAAGATTGGAAGAAATTTAAAGACTATTTACATAAATATTGTAAAATTAATAAATGTTAGAATGATGTTGGATAAAAAGTTAAGTGGTTTTTAGCTATAACGCTATAAGGAATATGAAAAAATGGAGTATTAACAGGTAAAAATTTAATGTTATAATATTTTAAGATTAAAGACTAGGATAAACAAAGAGGGAAAGGATTTGCTGAACTAATAAATTGAATTGGAATACAAAAAGGGAGGTGTGAGGAGGTCTGGGAAACAAGCAAATGAAAAATAAGTGATGGAAAGATGGAATTGTTTTTTAACTATTTTTATTTTGTAATTTCCTTTTTTCGTTTTTTATTCTGTAAAATCTTAATAAATATCTTTTAAAGAAATTTTTTTTTATTCTGTAAAATCTTAATAAATATCTTTTTTAAAAAAAGAAAACTTGGGTTTTTTAAATGAAGTTTTTAAAAGGGAGGGGAATGGGTCAAGAGATGGGGCTGTGGGGGTGGAGCGTTGGTCTGCCCCCTAACAGTGCCTGAGCCCTTCAGACTCCAATCCCTCTCTATCATGCCCTATCAACAAATATGGAAGTTCACAGCTCTTATTTAGCAGCATCCAGGATGGAGGTGATTCTGAGCAGCAAAGACACAGGAATGAAGCTGCTGAGCCCCAATCAGGAATCCCAGGAGAGCATCTGAGCCTGGGGCAGTGGATTAATGTGTTCCCACTACAAACAATACTAGGAATGCCTTAACATGTTGCTTTAACTGTCATGGGGCTTGCCAAAGACAGAGCAAAGAGGTAAACCCCATGCAGGAGCATCTCAGCCACTTCTGCAGGTAATGGGGTGAACCTCCCTGCTGGACACACAGAAGGGAGGAATTGCAACTGGAGCACACAGTTCCTGAGCCAGCATACTGTTAAATGTGTGTGAAGTGGGAGAGAAGGGAGATTGTGCCACCTGGGTACAATGCTGTGCTCATGACTTAGCCTCTCCCACTCCCACCCCAAGTTAGGAGGGGAGGGGAGACAGCAGTGACTGTGTGTGTACCCACACACCCTGTCCTCTTGCAAATTACGGGGTGGGGTAGCAATCCTTGAAAGGTGTGTTTGGCCAGTCACACTCATGGCTGGGCGGCATCATCCTGAAGATTGGAGGAGAGACCCTCTTAAGAATATTAGGGGGGTGGGCAAGGGAAGGACTACACCATGTGAAAAATGAACATAATATTTTAACTGCAGTTCATTCATTTTCAGCTTTGTATTCTTGTTATAAAAAAGTGTGCCCATAACCTAGGTTTAAGGTGCCATTCAGCTCCTAGCTTTCTTATCTCAGTTTCTAACACTGTTACTCATATGTAGCAAAGGGAGGGGACAAGAGTAGGTTGTTGGTTTGTTGCAGACGGCACCTTGTTTCAGCAGGAAGTTGGTGAGAGTTATGATTGGGAGTGACTGTGCTTTTTATCATTATAGTGATGGGTGGTTTGGCCTCCATTGTGAAGAGAAGAGAGCTTATGCAAAGAGAGTCCCAGTGGAAAGTCCAGGAGCCTCTGAGCCCTCAACAGTGATCTTCCAGCTATTTCCCCACCATAATATTAATGAAATGTTCAGAAGGCTTTTTTTTGTAGGGTTTGGATCCCTTTTGAATTTAATAATTAATATTGTACAAATTTACAGCCTGCCCTCACTCAACAACTTTGTGTCCCCCCCCCCCAAGTTTTTGTGTCCCTATTTATGGGACACAATTTACCGTATGTGTCAACCCTATTTATAACTTCCAGGACAAACAAGTGTGGGATGTGCCCTGGCCCCCCTGAGCCCCCTCTCCATAAACACCCCTGCAGCCCCTTTTTGTCAGAAAAGCAACCTAGTCAGAACATTACCAGGTGGGGGAAGGGACCAATTTGCCATTTTGTGGAGTACGGGGGTGGCGACAGACAATGAGCCAGTTCAGCTTCACAGTCAAAATGCCCCCTGCTGCTTTCACACTCATTGAAGAAATATGGGTGAGCAATAAGTGCCCAGGAATGGGGCACTTATATGCAGCTCTCAGTCTAAAAATAAAATAAAATAATGTTCCTTGCTATAAGGCAGGGGTGGCCAATTCCCAAGAGACTGTGATCTACTCACAGAGTTAAAAACTTGCAGTGATCTACCCCCTTTTTTGGGGTTCAGGTCAAAGTTTTTTTAGGGAGGAGGAAAGCCCCCTTTTTGGGGGTGCAAGGCAGTAATGTTGAGCTTTTTTAAGGGGAGACAAAGTTGTTGAGCTTCTTTGGGGGGAGCCAGTGATCTACCACAGACGTCTAGTGATCTACCACTAGATCACGATCTACCTGTTGGACGTGCCTGCTATAAGGCAAATATCTGACATTTACAAGTTATCAGGAAGAAAAGGCACTGCTACTGTGGCACAAAGTTGGAGGACAACTTTGGGCGATCACTGGTATTGGTCGCGCGCATCCCCGTCCCCGTCCTCTGCCGCCGCCGGGGGTTGCTATACTGGTGGACAGGGCAGCTTCGCCCCACTGCTGGGGACGGGGAAAGTCATGGACCTCCCACTGAAGGCAATAGCCGAATCCAAGACGCTACTTCCCTCCGTGTTCCACCAAGCCCAGGACGGGGCACAGCTTGATTTGAGGCACACCCCATTCCCACCTCATTCCACCTGCTGCAAGGGAAGGTCCTCCGGCAGGGTGGCCCTGAAAGGCTCCTGGCCCGTTGGGCGCCAGCAATCGCCACGCAGCAAGTAGGGGAGTGGGGTACCCCCACAAAGAGCTTCCTGTCTCATCACTTAATCAGGCGCCCCCAAAACACACACACACACGCACACGTGTCTCCTCTATCTCGTCTGGCCCAACGGGGGCTTCTTCCGCGGCCAGCAGGAGCTGAAACAGCCATCTCTTTAAAAATGAAAACAATGGGCAACTCTCAGCCTCCAGCCCCACGCCCGCAGGGATACAGTTTGCTCCATTCTCACGAGACATTCGCGTGTCGGAATGGTCACAAAACTGGGCACGATCCTCGTTCCCTCACCCCCCCGGCTCTGCAAGGGTTAATGTCGCTCGCGGATGAAGGGGCGGTGCGACGGTTCGTCCCCCGCCCTCGCCAACCCCGAGCAGCCCCATCCGCCTCTGCACATCCCGCGCCGACCCCCATAGCTATAGCCATAGTGTTTCCGCCGGAACTCTCCTGCGCCGGGGAAGGTACCTCGAGGGACCGCTGGAAGCGTGGCTTCCGGTTTTGAGGGTTCGCCACTTCCGGTCCCGCCGAGCGGGACTCGAGTCGTAATACCGGCCTCCTCCTCCGCTACTGCTGCCGCCGCCGCCATGGAGACTATCCTGGAGCAGCAGCGCCGCTACCACGAGGAGCGCGAGCGGCTGATGGACGTCATGGTCAAGGAGATGCTCACGCGGAAGTCCACGGTGCGGAGGGGGAAGGGGAGGCTGGTGGCGCCGGCCCCGCATCGCCCCACACCCGCGATTGACCCGCACCCCCTCATCCCTCTTTGTCTCTCTCTCTCCCTCTAAGCAGCTTCGAGACCAGATCAACTCGGACCACCGCACGCGGGCCATGCAGGATGTGAGTAGGCCGGGTCTTGTCTTGTGGGGGGGGGTTACCTTACTGTTTATTCATATGCCGCCTTTCAACTAAGAAGGCTCCCAAGGCGGCTGCCCAGAACAAACGGGTATATACAAATGCAAGAAAGCAAGTCCAAAACAACGCAAATGCAAATGATAACATATCTGAAGGATTCCAGCAGGATTGAAAACTGAACATATCCACGCTCTTGCCAGAAAGGCAAAGAGCATTCCCTAAAACAAACGTTAAGAAGAGATAAGAATGCTTAAGTCATCATCTTTGCCTTATAAGGGTTCCAGGTGGGGCTGGGAGGGGACAAGGCTGGTGCCTCTTGATGGTTCCAGCAGACTCTCCCCTGTAGCAAATGATGTTACATTGGCATAGGTGGCACTAAGAAAACTTGGAAAGCAAGTAGGAGGCATAATTCAGTGACACAAGATGCAGGAGCAGCAAGTGCCTCAAGACAACCAGAGAGGCAGAAGGGACAGCTGATAGTGCAAGGCTGCCGTTTTACCATGAAGCCCTGCTCCTTCTAGCTTGGGGAGGCTGCTGCTGCCACCAGAGCTGTTATGGCTGACTCCTGGGCCTTGCCCTTCTTTTCCTTCCAGAGATACATGGAGGTGAGCGGCAACTTGAGAGACTTGTACGACGACAAAGACGGGTAAGAAGGGTCTTCCTCCCTGGCAGTTTCTTTTGGGAGGGGGCAGCAGACTTTGAGCTGGCAGGACCTGGTGGGGGCCTCCAGTTGAATGGGTACTGGAAGGGAGGGGGAGCACTTAAAATCCAGAAAGCATGGACTGCTGTTGTCCTTGTTCCATGTGCAGCACCAATCAGGCCAGATCCCTTATTTCTTTCTCCTTCTACAAGCAATCCTGCTAGCCAATCTGAAAAGGCTTCCTCCTCCTGTTTTCTATAGGTTGCGGAAGGAAGAACTCAGTGCCATTTCAGGGCCCAATGAGTTTGCTGAGTTCTACAATCGTTTGAAGCAGATTAAAGAGTTCCATCGGAAACACCCAAATGAGGTGAGGTTGTGTGTGTGTGTGTGTAATGAATCCTCAAGAAGTAGCACCACTGACTAGTTGCCCTACTTGGTCTGAAGACCCTGGGATTTCATGGTTGCTTCTGGTATTGTGAAAGTGACTTGACTGCCTGTGCTGTAGCCTATATTCTATATTTTCTAGTTTGAACTTTGCTTCTAGTATGGAAAGATGCATACAGGAAGCAATCTCCACTACCTCTTTTCATGCTGTCCTTTTATGCACCAAATACACACTGCTTTTCTTCCCAAAACCTTTTGGCAGTTGTTCAACTTCTCTCCTTGTCTGCCTCCCAAAATTTGGTAGTGCAGTGGTTCCCAAACTTTTTCATGCTAATTCCGCCTTGGTTCCATAAATTCACCTCCAGTGCCTCCTTGCCCTACAAAAAGCATTATTCAGAATAGTGGTTTGCACAACTCACTAAAGAAGATAATAACACAATAAAATGCAAAACAGTAACAATTAATTGCATGCTTATTCAAAATCCAATTAAAACTATTTATCTTAATTAATTCAACAGAATTGCTGAACTTGATCCAGTAATACTTGCTTTTCAAAGTCTGATAGTTATTTAGCAAGATTATTAATTACCACATTTAGTAACTACTTTACTATTCAGTAAATTCGTAATGTGATGGACAGACTTGATAAAGTGAAATCTGTTTCCCAATGTCTGGTTTAAAGTCACTTTGCAGGAGCCTTAAATCTCCATGTTTTGTAAGAGTTTATTTCTTTGCTTGGAGAGAAGTTGGATGACTACACCAAAATCACATTCCACCAAATATGATGTTGGAAATGCAACAAGGAGTTTTTTAACCATTGTCAATAGTGCAGGATATCAATCAGAAATTGCCTCAAAAGTGATAAGAGTAAAAGAAATAAGCAGTAAGAAGTGAAGAAAGTGTTTCATTCTAGGCTCTATCCTGGTCAATCATAAATAAGCGAAAAACATGCTTGTAGAAGCACATCTGCAGTAACCCCACTCCACCCCAGGAGGTGATAATACCCACTTGGGGAACCACTGTTGTAATGTGTCTGTTCCCTTAGTCTTCTGTTGTCTCTTGCAAACTTATTTCTTTCCTTCGTGTCTTGTCTAACTACTAGCATAAGGTCTAATGTATTTTGGATCAGGTATCACTGCATTATTACCTGTTCATTATCTGGCCTATTAATCCTAAACACCTGTAGTAATCTGTCCCTTGTAGATTTGTGTGCCGATGTCGGTGGAGTTTGAGGAGCTCTTGAAGGCTCGGGAGAATCCCAGTGAAGAGGCTCAGAGTAAGTTTTAAATCTAACCTGTCTGGCATAACCCCTTACTTGGCCTCCTATTCTGATGCCCATTACACATTCCAGATAGTTGGAACAAATGGGCAGAGGACCTATTGCTGCAAGATTGCTTCTTGCTTGTCTTCATCTGCACTGTAGCCAAGCTAGAGGAAATGCTCTTTGTTCTTGGCCTGGGGATTCAGTTCTCTTCCTCATTATGCCAGTTCTGAGTTGTCTGTCTCTATTTGTTTTCTGCAGACCTTGTGGAGTTCACTGATGAAGAAGGATATGGCCGCTACTTGGACCTGCATGACTGTTATCTCAAGTACATTAACCTCAAGTCCTCAGAGGTGAGATTTCCAATCAGGTTGTCTAGGATTTGGAAGCATCTCTTGTCCTCTGTTCTATACCCAAATGGCCCTGCCCACCAAGTATAGCATGCATTAGAGTGCAAACAGAAGGAAAAAGGAATGGAGAAGGAACAAGCAACAGGTGTTCAAGCACTAATTCTTCATAGCTTCAGAAATATTTAATAACCAGGGAGACAGTTCTGGGAAGAGCAAAATGGAGTCAGATGGTCCCAGCTGAACCAATAGAGTTTGCCTTTCTGTCTCCCTTTTCCGCCTAATGGAATGGAGCTAAGGGGGTGAGCAGTAGGGAGTAGGGATTATCCAGGAAACGATTCAGTGCCTGCATTGGGATCTTACATGAAGTCACAGTTAATTATCTCTTTTTCCCTGTCCTCTGCAGAAATTGGATTATATCACATACCTGTCCACTTTTGACCAGCTTTTTGACATTCCTAAGGAGAGGAAAAATGCTGAATACAGGAGGTGAGAGCTCAGAACTTTTGGGCGGGGGGAGGAAGAGAACAGACATTAAACTCTTCCAAAGCCTCTAATGTATCTTTATCAGTCTGGGCTATTTTTTGTGTTCTGCTCCAAAAGTTTTAAAGCCATTCAAGTTGTTTTATGCCCCCCCAAATCCATTGTGACCAGATTTTCTCTGTCATCCACGTGGGCTTAGTAACAAGCTGAAAGAACCATAAACCTTGTTTGGCATCTTTCTGTGTAGGATCTCTGTTGGCTGGCTCCTCGCAACGGGGTGAGGAGCATTGTTTGATTATGAGGCAGTCACCTCCTCCCTTTCTTCCCTTGGTGATTGTTACAGGTACCTGGAGATGCTCCTGGAATACCTGCAGGATTATACAGACCGAGTGAAGCCATTGCTGGACCAGAACGAGCTGTTTGGCAAAATCCAGGCAGAATTTGAGAAGAAGTGGGAGAACGGCACTTTCCCTGGTTGGCCGGTGAGCAGTGCCCAGGATGGGGTGGGAGCTGGAGGTTTGGCAAGATCATGGTCCCATGGAGCAGGTCTCTGCTGATAGGCTCCTTGAACCACCTTAGGAGCTCTAAGTATTTGGCCACCAAAGCTCTGGACTGTGTTTTGGGGGGAATATTAAGCCACTAACCCTCTTGTTGTCTCTTGGCAGAAAGAGACCAGCAGCGCCCTCACCCATGCTGGGGCCCACCTGGACCTGTCAGCCTTTTCTTCCTGGGAGGTTTGTTTACCTTTTGAGCCTGTCTTGTTGGTGCTGGGAAGGGAGCAGGAGGGGAAGGGCTGCAGCTCAGAGGCAGAACACCTACTTTGCATGCAGAAGGTGCCAAAGTTTGATCCCCAGTGACATCTCTGTTTAGGGCTGGGAAATACTCTCTGCCTGAAACCCTGGGGAACCATTGCTGCTAGTCAGTGTAGACGATACTGAGCTAGATGGACCAGTGATATGCCTCTGTATAAGGCAGCTTCCGAGCTTTCCAGAACAGTTGCTGCTGCTGCTGCCGCCGCCGCCGCCTTTGCTTTCTGTGGTGTGCAGGGACTTCGGCTAGGTTCTTGCTACCCATTGCCCAGCCAGACAAGAGAAAGGAGATGGTTAACTTACAGCCAAGTCATGTCAGCTCTGTGCATTTGTGCTTCTTCCACAGGAATTGGCCTCCCTTGGACTGGACAGGCTGAAATCTGCACTGCTGGCTTTGGGTCTGAAATGTGGTGGGTAAGTAAAGGATTTGTTTGGAGCTGGCTATGGGGGTAGGTTGCTGTTGCTGCTACTGGACCCTGTGTATGACACCCAGTGAAGCTGAATTCAGATAAAAGAAAATACTTCTTCATGCTTCACAGAGTTAAACTAAGGAACTTGCTCCCATAGGAGGCAGTCATGGCCACCAACATAGGTGGCTTTAAAATAGGGTTAGATAAATTCATGGAGGAGAGGACTGTTGATGGCTACTAGCCCTGATGGCTATGCTCTGTTTCCACAGTTGGAGGCAGTGATGCTTCTGAGTACCCTTTGCTGGAAACCACAGGAAAGGAGAGTGCTCTTGTACTCGATTCCTGCCTGTGATCTTCATACTGGGGCATCTGGTTTACCACTGTGAGAAGGTGTTGAACTTGATGGGCCACAGGCCTGATCCAGCAGGCTCTTATGTTCTTACATGAGAGGTCTGGTTGTTTGGATGAGCTCTGGGTTTATCCGGATCTGGAGATGCAAGCATGTAATGCGTTTCTTCTCTTCCTCCTCTCCAGGACTCTAGAGGAACGTGCTCAGAGGCTGTTCAGCACCAAGGGCAAGTCTCTGGAGGCCCTTGACCCTTCTCTCTTTGCCAAGAACCCAAAGACAAAGGGGAGCAAGCGGTGAGGCCCATGGGGGTATGGCTGGGGTGAAGTTGAACATGTCCTGCTCAGATCACCTTCCGGCAGAGGGGCAGCTCCTTGCTTCCTTGCTTCTCTGCCAGACGCTGGGTGGTAGAGATGCTGTCCTTGGCCTTAGCTTTGACTAGTAACCTGAGCTGTTGGGCCCATGTGGGTCCTCCTGGCTCTGCAAGTGGGGTGGGGTGGGTGTATCCTTATCCCTTCATCGAGCCGTTTCCTTGACAGGGACACTGAGAGGAACAAGGACTTGGCTTTCCTGGAGGCTCAGATCTATGAGCACGTGGAGATTCTTGGGGTAAGCACTGTCTCCCATCCTTCTCCCTAGCCATTGGGGTTCTGTTGTGGTTCAGTAGGCCTCCTACTGTACTCACTGCCTCTGTTTCCCAATCCTTGTAGGAGCAGCGGCAGCTGACTCATGAAAATGTGCAGCGCAAGCAGGCACGGACCGGTGAGGAACGCGAGGAGGAGGAGGAGGAACAGATCAGCGAGAGTGAGAGTGAAGATGAAGAGAATGAAATCATCTACAACCCCAAGAACTTGCCCCTTGGGTGGGATGGCAAAGTAAGCCTGGCTCATTGTGGGGCTCGCAGCACACCCCAGGGGATGGGAGGAAGTGACTGCTTTGTGTGCTCACTCTCTCTCTCTTCCTCCCCCCCCCACCTTGCCTTTCAGCCCATCCCTTATTGGCTGTATAAGCTCCACGGCCTGAACATCAACTACAATTGTGAGATCTGTGGGAACTACACCTACCGTGGGCCCAAAGCTTTCCAACGACACTTTGCGGTAGGACACTGGAAAGTGCCACAATATTTATTTGGGGAGTGTGTGTGTTTGATTGGGCCTCAGAACAAATTATCAGCTTGCATGAGGTTCAGGGCTCTTGCTAGGCAGCAGCCCTTGAATCTTAACACTTGCAGAGCCCCCGTGTGCAGTGGGGGGGGGGAGACCCTTCCCAACTGGCTGCTTTTTAGCTTAGCCTTCTATTCGAGACCCAGGTTGTGTGGCAGTTCTGCATGGAGGGCAGTGGCACAATCCAGCATCTTCTTTGCCCCCCCCCCCCCCGGAGCACTTTAGCTCTGTCATGGCCAAGCCTTGATGCTCCTCTGTGTTCCATAGGAATGGCGCCACGCCCATGGAATGCGATGCCTGGGAATCCCCAACACAGCTCACTTTGCCAACGTCACGCAGATTGAAGATGCTGTTTCATGTAAGTGGCCACAAGTTGCCTTCCTGGCCCTGGGCTTGCCTGTGGCTGCCAGTTTCACATTGTGGGGGGTGGGGGCCATCCTGTCAGAGTGATGGGCCTGCTCTGCCAGCTGCTGGCTTGTTGTGTGATTTATTTACCTCTTTGCTGATGTGCCAGGATCAGCAGAGTGAGTGGGTGGGTGGAGCTTCTCAGAGGGGCAACTTGTGGTGTGGCAGGAGCCTGATCCTTTACCCCTGGTTGGGCAGGGGTGCAGGGCTTCTGATGCTTCCCCAAGCAGAGTAGCAGCTATCCCTCCACCTGGGTATCTTGGGTTGTGACTGGGAGCTAGCAGTTGACGGTCGCCTCTGACAGTTTGTGCATGTGTGTTTACAGTGTGGGCAAAGCTGAAGCAACAGAAGGCTTCGGAGAGGTGGCAGCCGGACACAGAAGTAAGCTGGGTTGGGACATCCCTTGCAGTTGTCTGTTGGGAATGGGACTGGGAGGACCAGGCCGGGGGTTAGTGGTGTGTGTGCCTTCAGCTCCGGTCCCCATGGCAAATTCTACCGAGGTCCCCAATGTTTAGCAAAGGGAATGCAAAGGCTGGCGCTGGCTAGCAAAGCCCACTGAAGTCATGGGGGATAAGAACTATTGGTTGTTACCGGTCACGTGACCAGGGGAGCCTGCCCTGAAATGTCCCAGGGTGGAGAGGAGCTCCTCCCATGTCCAGATTGGCTGTTTCCTCCATAACTGTCCACCCTATTTCCCCTCCTACACAGGCATCTGTTGTGTGTCCCTGCCCCACTCCCAGCATGTAGTTAACTGGCTGTGGGGTTTCATTAGTCTAAACATGTTTCTGTGCATTGGTTTCTCCCTTGGCTACTGATTCCTCCCTTTTGTGTTTGGGTGAGGCTGTTTCAGCCACATAAGCAACAGCACTCGGGGCTGAATGTCAGAAACAGGGCATGGCAGCTCAGTGGAGCCTCCATATTCAGATGCAGAATAGAGGGGTGCTGGAATGCTCTCTGTTGTTCTCCTGCCTTGCTTCAGGGATTCCCAGAAGCACCTGATTGGCCAAAGGAGGCTGGACTTGATTGGCTCCTCAGAGAGTCTCATCAGAGGCAGTGCATCCCATTTTGCCGCTTGAGGCTGATGCCGCTCCACTTCTCCCCCAGTGGCCGGGCTGGCAGGGTGTCTGCAGAGGCTTTTGTTGCCTGTGGCAGCAGCTTCTGGGTTTCAGCGCTTTGCTGTCTCCATGGTGGGGGGGACCTTCACCTTAGGGCCCTGATACTGCTTTCCTGGTTTTCCCCACACTTGGGCTTCTCTGTCAACCTAGGAGGAATACGAGGATTCCAGTGGGAATGTGGTCAACAAGAAGACCTATGAAGATCTGAAGCGCCAAGGCCTGCTGTGATCAGAGGAGACGTTGGCCTGACACACCCCACCCCAGACCTCCCATGTTGCGTGTGTGCCTGTTCTTCCCCCCTCCATGGGAGCAGGTGCTTCAAGGACACTTACAGCTCACAGGGTGATGATTCCTGTAACAATTTTTTCATAAAAAATAAACCTTAGTTTTAAAGGCAGAAGGAATGGGCACCTGGTGTGGTCTGCAGCTTTATTTGATAGACACGTTCAGGCTTCCTCCCAGCTTCTTTCACACATAATGCATCCTTGTTCACTAGAAGTGGGACAAAAGGCACAGATTCAGTCCCTCACTGAGAACTAAGCCAGAGCTGAACTTTCCGTTCCCAAAATACTCCCTCAGAAGCTGGTGGACTCTTTCATTGGATATATTTAAGAAGAGATTGGATGGCCATCTTCCGGGGATTATTTAGCTGCGATTCCTGCATTGCGGGGGTTGAACTCAAGCCTTTGGGGCCCCTTCCAACTCCACTGGTCTATCATTTTAGGGTTGTTCCTTTGTCCCTCCTTGTAGTTCACTAGCCCGTTTCTGTTTCAGTTGAGCAGGAAGGAAAAGAAGAAAGTGCCTTTGTTTGCAGCTACTCAAGGCCTGGCTGTGACAGGCAATTGTGTTCACTAGGTTTCCCCAAACCCACCCGCTTCTTCAGCAGCTGCTGGTAAATATCCTGCTACTGCTTCCAGCTCCTGGGTCCTAATGCCTACAGGCACCTTTACACTTGTCTTAAGGGCTATTTGCGTTGGAAAACAGCTATTGTGGCTCTGAGGCAGGGAGTTGCTGGGTGGAAAAGACAGGCATGCCCTTGCAGGTCTCACATGTGTATGGGACAAGGGGGTTGCAATCTAGTTGGAAAAGGAAGTAAAACCATCCAAGGCTGCTGCAGCGGTGGTGGTGGCGGCCGCTGCTCTGGCAAGCCACAGGGGAAGACCATAACATGACCCACCGCATGTAACACCTGTGTCTTCTGAAGTCTCTGTTTGGGGAAGGACCATACCTCAGTGCTAGAGCATCTCCCTTGCAAGCAGATGATCCCAGGTTTGGTCTCCTGCAGCACCTCCCAGTTGTGTTGGGAGAGACTCCCACCTGAAATCCTGGAGAGCTGCTGCCAGTCAGTGCAGACAGTACTGAGCTAGATGGAGTAATGGTTTTGATTCAGTATAAGGCAGCTTTCTGTGTTTCTCTTCTCCCTGGGTTTAGTTCCTCTTTTTCTTGTTATTTCTCTGCTGCTACCCAAGGACCCCAGAGACCTGCTGGGAACAGAGAGCGTGGCTAATTACCCTAATTGGGATGGATTTGTTGCTGTAATTGCCTGAGGAAGGCAAGGCCCTGATGGGCACCTGGGGGTGGCTGCAGCCTGATTGGAAGTGGGAGAAGGGCAATTTGGCTGAGCTGTGTTCTTGGGTGCCCTGGTTGGGGGAGATTTGGGGTGTTCTGCCACGGGGAGGGGGGGCTAAGTTCAGAACCTATTCCATCTCACTTGAGGAACAACCGTAGACTTGTAATGGAGCAGCAGCATTTATATACAGTCACAGAGACTCCCTTTCTTGATAAAATGTATTGGCAGCATTTAGACACACACCCAGACTCTCTTCTTTGAGAAACTCCCTCTCGATCCTCCCCAAAGTGGCCACTACACTTTGGCTGGCAAGGACTTCGTTTCTGCAATGCATCGCCCAGGTGAGGAGGTCTCTAGGAAAGGGTGGGATGTAGGTTTTGCCTCCTAGCTGTGGCTTTCAGCAAGGCAGCTGCTCCAGCTTCAAAGCTGGCAGTTTCTCCCCCCTTCCATCCCAAAGATGCCTTCCCTGGCCATTTCTCTCAGAACAATATAAAATCCTCCTATTGACTCTTCCAAGCTTTTTAAAAAAAGAAAGGGTAGCCCCCTCTCCCCAGTGGTAGTATGAGGGGGGTGGTCCCAAGTACCCCAGGTCTCCTGCCCCTTCACTCCACCCCATCCTTTTTGTTTTGTTGCATTGCTGGTGAGACCCCCCACCCCCACCACCTTAATTTATCTCTGTACACCTACACCAGTCTATTGCAATCAGTATTGTGGACCTGCCCCCCAGGTAGTGCCCCTCTCCACAGCAGCCTAATCTTTTGTCCCATTGAAAGATGTTTCGTAGGTGGAGAGGAACTTCCAGCTGTTGAGCGGCACATGCAGATCTTTCTGATACCAGAGGTCTGCCTGAAAAGCTTGAATTGTCAGATCCTTATTGTAAACAGCATACAGTCTTTGTTGGGGGGGGGAAGGATGGAACTCCTTTCCCCATCTTTTATGAGGATTATCTTAAGTGCTCTGATGCCTTTACTCAAAGACTCCCTGAAGCCAGCCTTGGTGATTGTGCCTCATCCTGCCATGTGTTCTGGGCCCCATGTGGGGAGAGCCGCCTCGGTTGCCCAGAGCATCATGGAAGCAAACCCCTCCTTTCTCCCACCACTCCACTCTACCTGCTGGTTGGTGCCATCTCCGCCTGGGCGGGGAGGAGGGCTCCCCAAGGGGCACCTCTTCTGCCAGCACAGGAGGAAGACATTGCTCAGACAGGCTTCTAGGGTGAGGTAAGTGAGCGCAGCTGGTGGGTTCCTTTGGGGGACTAGCTAAGGAAGGCGGGAGAGGGGGGTTGCATGTTTGAGAGTGTGTATGTATGAGAGACCTGCCTGCTACAGAGGGGACTGGTCCTCTAAATGTATTGAGTTGGGCTTCTGAGTGAGACAATCCATCCCTGGATGAAGCAGAGTTGGCTCCTCAACTTGCATCCTTAACGTACGATGGGATCCTGAACAATCAGGTGGGGTGGAGGCCCTCTGAAAGAAAAGACATTCCCCAAACCCTACCAAGCTCCAGCTCCTTAGCTGGAACGATGGTCTGTGGATTATACATTTTTCTGGATTAGAACTTGAATGCTTTGGTTCCTGAGGACTCCTCTGAATTTGCAGCGCTTCCTTGAGGTTCTAAGAGGGTTGAAGCCAAGCAAAGGAACAGAGCATTGTGGCGTGAGCTTTGGTGTTCAGTTCCTTTCTGGCAGATCTCTGTTTTGGGAAAGTGAATGGGCTGCACTTCATCATCCAAACTGGTATCTTTCTCAGATATGCAGTGCCTTTAGGGAAGAGCCCAGGCCCTGCTTTTTCAACTAATGGCTCAGCTGGTCCCCCAAGCTTCCAGAGTGGTTGTCAAGAGTGGTGGGGATGACCCAGGGCTGAGATGATGAGGTTTTTTGCTGACTGTTGAGTGTAGGTTGGCTGGCTGGAGGTGCTGGTAGGATATAGGCTTCTGTTCTTGAGGGTTTCTGTCCTTGATATCTGTCTACAGCTTTCCCATTTTTCCTCTGGGGCTCAACCAAACACAGGGTTGCTGGGCCAACGGCACATGTCATTAGCGAGGAGCCCTGGGCCTCTGGGCGTGTCATTTTCCAGTCTCCATGGCAGCCACTGCTTGGGGACCTGCAGGGGTTCCTGGAACTCAGCCCACATCCTTCATAGGTCTTTGTACTTGTTGCTGCAAGTGCTCTTACCCCTTTGACCGCTTCACCAGCAGCTGCTTTAATGGCCTTAACGAAGCACCACAAGAGATCAAGGCCTTGGAGGGTTATCAGGCTAAAGGCTAAGCAGATTTGACCAGGGAATGAGACACAGAGCAGCCAAATGCTCAGTGTGAGAGCCGTTGTTGCTGGTGGGAACAGATAATAGAATCATAGAATTGTAGAGTTGGAAGGGACCTCAAGGGTCATCTCATCCAACCTCCTGCAATGCGGGAATGAAGGAATCTTCTGCAGGATGTTGACTGGTGGTCATTCTTCTTGGTGGCACAAGTCAAGGTCCCACAGTGGACCAGTGAAGCTTCAGATGGTATGGACTCCTTGAATTTAGCCTGCACAAACCTGCCAATATGCCCAGCACAGATAATGGGGGTGCCTCAGAGATGAGGCAGGGGCAACTTCTGGTTACAGGAATGTGCTCCCTGGAGGAGGCTTGCCCATGGCTGACTCTGTTGTGTTTTCTGCACCGGTCAGAGACATTCTCATTCTGCCTTTGACTTACTGACTCTGCTTGTTAGATTTTTCTATGTTCCTGCATTAAGTATGTATTCTGTCCTGCTGGTTCCCCCCCCCTATTTTTCTTGGGGTTTCCTTGTTAAATCCTTTGTATTTGTTGCTAAGCCCCCTGAGAATAGTCACACTATTAACTGTTTTAATGACTTGCTTTAATTAAGAATACATTGCAAGATTTCCCAAAGAGGAGGTTGGGGGGGGGGTGTCTTCCAACACTGCAGGGAAAGGCTATACCAGCAACAACCCATAATGGCACTTCCTGTCCTCTAGGAATCCAGAATAAGTTTCACATGGAATAAGATGCATGAGGCTAATTGTAGGAGACACAAGAGAATCATATTATCATAGAACTATATAATTGTAGGGTTGGAAGGACCTCAAGGGTCAACTAATCCAACCCCCTGCAATAGATAAAGTGATCCAGAGCTGCAGCTGCTCACCCCCCCCATCCATCAGTTCGCAATCAAAAGCAGCCAGACTTTCTCTAAGACTTGCTCAGTGTTAGGTTTTGCTGAGTCTCTGAGCAAAAGAAGCTTGGCAGTTACTAAAAATGCACCTCAATGCGCACAACTTGATGTTCCAAATTGGCACTCACTTTGTTTTGTCAAGAAAGCTCCTTAGGTTGAGCTAACTGTGCCTTTTCCTTTAAAACATAGCAAAACTACATAAGAAGAGCCTGCTGGATTAGGCCAATGGCCCATCTAGTTCAGCAGTTTTCATTTTGTGACAAGAGATCGTCATCTCTCGTCACCGCTATCTGTCTCAGTTTATTAGACTTGCCTGCCGCAAAGGTTAGTTCAGGCACCGGGAACTGCCCTACACTATCTGCCGTGAAGAGAGCTGCAAAAAATTCATTCAGGTTCTCTGCAACTCCTATGACTCCTGCGATGTATCCCCCCACTGTCAACTCTCATCTTGTCCCCCCCCCCCGTCTCTAGCACACTACCAACTAAACATTCACCTTGTCACTCTGTCTACCAGAAAGTGACACTCCTCTACCCATCCCTACACTGGCTCCCTGTCTGCTCCAAATCCAGGATGCGCCCCCCTGCAGAGCCTGGCATGGCCCTTACCTCTTTGCTGCTCTCATATCTAAAGGCCTCTCTGCTTGTGACCTTTCCACAGCCATCAGCCATCCCAATGTCTCCTCCCTCCAGCAGCTCCTCTTGCATGCCTGGAGCTGCCTCCCAGGATGCTTGCCTGCGAAACCCCCTCCCTGGCTTTCTGCAATGAAGCCCAAGGCCATGCAGCCAAAATGGAGGCACATCCAGCTTGCTTGCTTGCTTGCTTCCTCTCCTCTTTCTCTGTGGTCATATTTAAGACTGGAAGCTCGTCAAGGGAAGGTGCTGCCCTCCTGTAAAAGCATCAGGCACATGGATGGCACCACACAGAAATAATGGGGAAGGGGGATGGTCTTCTATGTGGGTCTTCTCCTTTTGCTGAGTTTGTTTAGCACTTCATGGCTCAAAATTGGCAGCATCTGTTCCAGGAAGTGCTGCAGGGCTGGGATCTAGCAACAGCCTGAGGCAGTGAAGCTGTTGTGGGGGACGGGGGACAGCAGCCTGTGCATAATCACTCTCATAGAGAAAGACCCAGCTGACTTTCCCCAGGAAGGCAGGTGGAATGTCTTCTGTTCTGACTCCCTCCAGTGGATGTTACAGTACTTGGGGCAGCTCAAGTTCTGTCCTTGCAGACTGTGACCAGATCCAGATGCTCTGCACTGGGGTGATCCAGGTGGCTCCAACTATACTGGCCAGGTGGAGAAATGGCTTGACGCTCCAAAGCATCTCCTTCTGCCTTTTCTCCTTGAGTGAGCCACTTTTCAAGGGCCCACTGTCCTGACTATTGTGGGCACAGCTGATGCCCTGATCAGATTCCTAGCCAGTGATCGCACAGCCTCATTACCTGGATGAGAAGACCAAAACACAGGAATGTGCAAAGGGCCTCTGCTTCATTCGACCCATTGCTCCTAGTGAACTGAGATAGGTCCTGCCAAGACCCTGTTTAAGATCCTTTCTACAGCTTTGTCTTGAGTTTAGGGGTTGCTTGCATCGCCTCCTTGTGCTCGGGGTGTGCGTGCTGAGAAATCTGAGAAATACATACATATGTTTCTTCCCTGTTGCCCACTCTGCAGGGTCCTACAGAATTAGATCCCCTTGGCTCGAGATGGCAAGTCCCAACAACCACCGGATTCTCCCAGCCCAGGGTAAGAGGCTTCATTGTGGTGGAATTTCTGGCAGAGGTGACAGCCTGACATGTGACTCGCTCCTTGGCGAAGGCGATATATGGAAGACACAGAGTGTCTCCTGAGCAAGTCAGAGGAACCGGGGTAGTATTGGGGACTGGCTGTTTGTTGGATTTCTCCTTGCCCAACCATCTGGTAAAAGAACAAGAGCCCCACCCTAAAGTACTGACGGAGGAAGAGGGGGCAGGGGGAGTGCACCACCCCCGGCACCACGATCCTGGTGGGGTGCCATCATGGCTGCCCCCCCTGCACTGGCTGCCATGCCCCCACAGGCGATGCGCCACGCCCCCGGGACCCGCGCCAGCCACGCCCCGCCTGCTCTCTGCCCCTGGTGCCAGAGCATGAATCTCCGCCACTGCCCTAAAGAACAGTGGTCTGCAATGGGATCCATCAATGCCTTGATGTGACATTGTCTGATGGTCCTCTACAGTGAGCTGTGGGTGACAGAGGTGCCTTTTCTCTCTGCCATTCAAGAAACAAACATGGTCTTTCTTTTTTCCATCTGCAGGCATCTTTCTCCTCTGGGTTGCTCTGCACTTCAGCACATGGACCTCTTGTATACTGGCAGGTGAGAGGGCTGGCTGGCTATGTGTTGGGAAGGGGAAGGTTCTGTGTAGGGAGGCCCATGGGGCACAGGCTGAGGAAGAGGCGGACCCTTGGAACTTCCTGCCACTTTCCTCTGTGCAGCTCCTGAAACATAAGCATGGTTTCAGTTGCAGTCAAGGCTTCTGCTCCACTTAGGAAACCATTAGCTGGAGCAGAGACTTCCTTGGCTCCCACACCAAGGGATTTACTAACCTCTTGCTTCCTCTTTCAGAGCCTGGGCCCATTTCAGGAGCACCCCTCATCCCCAGCAGCTCAGCGAACAGCACAGGCATGATGAACGTAAGAAACCGACCCAGCATGACACTGCTGTGTGTGGGGTGTGTGTGTTGGGCATTTCCCAGTTGGAGGAGATGGGATGGGAATGTCTGGGTGGGAGGCAGGCATGGAGTGTCTGCTCCTGGCTGGCTGCAGCCCTTTGGTGAGAAGGAACATCCTGCAGATGGAAGTATTCATTGGGCAGGTTTGTATGTGAGAGAGATGAACCAGGAAATGATTCAATTGGGAGGCCCAAGTGGAGGTGGCAGGTCAGGTCCAGGTCGCAGGAGAGAGGTGCTACTAGGGCAGAGGATGCTTTGCCTGGGGAGGCCAGGGCAGCTGTCTAGCTTTCTTGCCATGAAGGTTCAGCTCCATCTCCTTCTGCAGCTCACATGCCAGAGCTTCCAGTGTTCCGGGGAGCGATGCTACCATGACGAAGCTCATGGGAACAGCACAGAGACCTGCCACAACGCAACACACTGCGAGGTAGGGAGCCTGGAGGTGTTATTTGAGCGGGGTTGTTTTAAACAGTTTTAAAGTGTTATATGTCAATCTGTATTTTGTATTTGTATTTTTTTGGTTTTATAAAGTTGATTAATACTCTACAGCCTTTTAAAATGGGTTTGAAAGGTATTCTTCTGATGTTTTTGTTTTAACTATTGACTTGTGTTTTTACCTTGTATTTTTATCCTGTGAACCACCATAAGATCTTGAAGGGTGGTACAGTATATAAACAATATTTAATATAAATAAATAAAGCCCCCCCCCCGAAGAGGCTGCAAAGGACTGTGGGTGGCCTTGGCCTCCGTCCTGGACCGTGTCTTTACAAGTGTGGGGGGATCAGCTAAGGTGGGGCTGTGGGGTCCAGCCACTCCTGCTTCTCTGCATGGATCATAATGCAGCGATGGTCAGTTGTCAGCTTTGCCCTGCTAACCCTTTGGTGGGTCTTGCAGCTCTTCCGCCTCAACACTACCAGCTACACAGCCCGGTGCAGCAGTGAGTGTGGGGGAATCAACGGCACCGACATGTGCATGCAGAATGGCACCATAAGGATGAACTTGTGTTCGATGGAGTGCTGCAGCTCCCCAAACTGCCTGCTCCTCAACGCTACAGCCTACGGTAAGCTCCCCCAATGGGAGGCCTCTTAGGATGCTCTGCTTGGCAGGATTCCTTCTCCCTGGGGAGGCTGAGCTGACCTATGGGGCATCTGGGCAGAGCTGCCTTCTCAGAGAGGCCTTTCTTGGCTCTGGGGACTTGGTCCCTGGAGCAGCTGAAGGGCAGGATTTCAGCCCGCAGCCAGCCTCTCTCCAACCTGCTAGTCTGGCATGACAGCTTCTCCCGTCGGTCAAGAGGTCCTGGGGGCCTCAGCCAGCTCCTCCACCTCTCATGTCTGTTCTAGGTGACCTGCCGCCCACCACCACGCCGGCGCCCACCACTACCACCACCAAAGCACCCCCCAAAAATGTAGGTGTCACTTCATGTTCTGGCAGGGATGGCTTGTTTGCTGGCAGGGCAAGTGGGCAGGTGGCATTCTCAGAGTGGGTGGGTGGATGAGTGGGAAATGGGATCCTGGTTCTTTCCCTATGTCCTCCCTCCTGCCCAACACCAGGAGTGCCCAACACCAGGGGCGTCTGGGGATTTGGCTGAATCCAGCGCACAGTCCTGGTGTCCACAATTCAATGGCCTGCCTTTCTTTCCTCCCTCGCTCCCTCTGTAGGGGAAAGTGTGCTCAAGCTTCACCTGCCACGGAGAAGGATGCTACAAGGGACAGAAGCACGCAGCCGGCTGCATCGTGGGCTTTGATTTTTGCGAGGTACCATTCCTGAAATGATAACACCCCCCCTCCAAACGCCCATGTCCTTGTTCTGCCCTCTGAATGGAGCCCTGTTGCTGCAGTGCCTTAGAATGCAGCTTGAGCCTTGTAAGCCCCTTACAAACCAGCAGGAGCTGCGTGCCTCAAGAGAGCAGCAGGTACCACAAGGCAAAGTGGAAGGGGGTGGGCAGTGGCCAAGTGCACACTCTGATGGCTGTCGTGAGGATTCTGAAATGAGAATAGTTAGCTAAATGGGTGCTGGAGCATCCAATGGAAGTCTGTTTTTTAGGACAAGAGATCTGAAGTCTGAGGAAGAAAGGGGGAGGCCCACCAAATCCCCATTGGCAGCCCTGTGTGCCAGCTGCCCTCTGCAGGCACCCTGCTTGATTCTGGGGGGGGGGGCACAGCACCAGTGCCTGAAACAGCAGCCAAGCTGGTCCCTGCATCTGCTACTTGTGTGGGCCAATGCTTGCTCCTTTCTCTCCTTCCAGATGAAGAAAACCGGCCCCCACTTTGTGGCTGGATGCAGCAAAGTCTGCAAAACAGCTGGCCCGCCCTGCTCTGCGGGGTCCAAGGTGCCCTGCTACCAGGAGTGCTGCCCGGCGATGCCCAAGACCAGCTGCCTGAAACTGGATGGCAAAGTGCACTTCAATGGGGCCAAGCAAGTGGCAGCCCTCACCCCCCTGCTCCAGCTGCTGGTGTGTGCAGCCGTCCTCAGCCTGAACTATGCTATCCTGTTCTAGGCCGGGCACGACTGAAGCTGAGCTGGCCTGTTCGGGTCCTTAGGTGGTGGCAAAAAAGCAACTCTCCCTTCTCTGTCTCTCTCCCTCTCTATGCCTTGGGGAATCCACTTGGTTTGGGCCTTTCTCACAAGGCATCCAACAAATGCCTTCCCCCCTTCCCTCCTTTTTCTTCCAGGGCCAAGTGATTTATGAACCTTTGGGCTGTGTGAGCTTGCGATAAAGGGTGATATATAAATCGAATAAATAATAATAATAATTTAGCTCAGACCTACATAATCAAGAGCCACTTTCCTTCCCTCTGCCCTGGTCTGAAAGATGGCAGGAGATCTGAGCTGGAGCCAGCAGGTCACAAGCCTGATCCTGGGGGCAAGTGACAGAAGCAACAGGAATTTGCTTTTGGATTAAATAGGGAAGGGTGTCCTATCTATCCAGGAGCAGCTATTTAACTGTTTTGAGACCGTTCCAGGTTTGCAGAAAGCTGAAGGTTGCCTTCTGTTATTTGGCAGAGTCCCAAGAGCTGTACAGGAAGCCTCTTATCAGGGTAGAGAGGTGAAGGAAAGGGGGAGAGCCCCCCCCACCTTGTTCTTTAAACTAGAGTGGCCCTGCTCTCTCCTGGCTTTCTGCTAGCTGGCTCTGTGAACCCCCTTCTGGCTCTGCAGGGGTGATGGGCCAAGGGAGAACCTGGGGGGGGGGTTTGCTTATTCCCCCTAAAGGGCCTTGCTGCTATGGCTGATCTTAGCTGCTGCCTTAAATGAGGGACCCACTTTCTCGCTGAGCTGCCTGTCGTTCCCCACCCACCGCCCCACTCATAGTATCAGAAATGTTTCTCTTGCCTAAAAATTGCAAATAAATCTATTTAACTAGATGAGCAGTGTGTGTGTGTGTTTAAAGTCCATTTCTCTGCCCTGGGCCCGCACCGTGTCTCCTCCACAGAGGCAGAAAACCCACCCAAGGTTTGCAATCACTGCAACAGGTAACTGCCAAGATCAGCGGCTGTTGACCCAAGGGGGTCTGGCCCTGGGCACCTCCTTGCAGTGGCGTAGCGTGGGGGGTGCAGGGGGGGCCGGCCGCACCGGGCGCAACATCTGGGGTTAGGGCAAATCCACGGGTTAGGGGGCGCAAATCCACGGGTTAGGGGGCGCAAATCCACGGGTTAGGGGGCGCAAATTACTTGCCTTGCCCCGGGTGCTGACAACCCACGCTACGCCACTGCCTCCTTGCTTTTCCGAGGTCGCCTGCCTTCCTGGGCCTTCTCAGGCGGCCACACTACGTCCTGAGGGGGGGCTGCATCTTCCAGGGGGAGCTGGCATTATGGAAGAGGCAGCCTGGCAAGCTGCGCTGCCTTGCTCAACTGGCAGCAGACGGGGCGGGTGGGTGTCTAGCTTCGGCAGTCTGTCGAGCAAGGAAAGGGTTTGCAGCCCGGGCAGTAGCCGCTCCGTGGGGGGAAGTCCGGTGGCAGGAGCCCGGAGCCGCCCTTCCCGCGCCTCGTCGGGGCCTGGGAGCGCCCATGCGTCGGCGGCCTCCTCCTCTCGCCTTCCTGCACCCGCCCGGGAGGCCGGAGCCGCCAAGGCAGCCGCGGCCAGGCCGGAGGCGGGACCCGTCTTCTCCCCCCGCCCCGCCGTGCTCAAGGAAAGAGGCCTGCAGGCTCCAGCGCCGCCGCTTCCTTCTCGGCTCGGTTCCTGACGCTCCCCGGTTGCGGCGGGGGCTGCCGGCCGGGTCCGGGCGACCCTCTCCGTCCTGCAGCAGCAGCAGCGGGGAGTGCCGCCTGCTCCGCCGTCCGCGCAGGATGGATCAGTCGGTGCCCATCCAGGAATCGCTCTCGGCGGGGGAGACCTGCCTGGTCGTATCCTTTGGGGGCCGCCCCGGGAAGGACCCAGTGGGAGGGCGGGCAGTGTGGGGCGGTGGTCGCTCGCCACTCCGGCACTTTCCGGCCCCTTCCTTGACCTCCGGCTGCAGGCGGTGCAGGGGCTCCTGGCTGGTGGGGAGAGCCGGCTGCTGGGCCTGGTGGAGAGCCACGGCAAAGCCATGTAAGTCCGCCGCGCCCGGCAGGTGGGACAGGTGAGACAGGTGAGGGCAGGAGCCGGGCGTGGAATGGAGGAGGCGGGTCTCTTCCTCCCTCCCCGCCCCTCCGTGCGGCTGCTTCTGCTGCTCCTCCTTTCCCGGCTCCTCCGCCTCGCGCGGCCCCGGAGAGGAGCAGGTTCCCGGAAGGGGGCGCTGGGGATCCCAGGAGGGGGCCGGGGGAGGTGGGCTGCGGAGGGAGGAGCGGGCTTGGGACAGCAGCATCTCCGGGGTGCTGAGACGTGGTGGGCGAGGTGCTGGGGCCACGATCCTGGTCTCTGATGGAGAGGGCGCGGGATCTCCCGGCTCTGTCTCCGCAGGATCTGCCTGTACAGCCACCGGCGCATGGCCATCACCGCCGAGGACGTGCGCCTGGAGAAGGTCCTGCTCCTTCAGGAAGGCTTTGCCGTGGAAGAAGGTGAGGGCTAGCTCTCCTTTCTGGCTTATTGACTTCGTTGCCACATTCCTCTGCAGGGAAGGCTCCGCTGCCTCCTCCCCCCCCCACCCCCGCGAGTCGGGGCGCTTGAAATGATTCCCGTTGACCCACTTGAGTAGGAGGAATCCAGGACGAATGATCCCCCAAAGAGCCAGGTAGTGGATGCACTCTTTGGGGAAGGTTGTCACCCGTGTTTCTGTCCCTTGGCCACCCCAGTCCCAGATAATGAACAATCATTGACCAGGCCTTGGGGGGGGGCTTAGGGGGACCCCTTTGGTGGCATTTCCACCAGCCACCTGCCAGGCAGCTTTTAAACTATCTTTCGTATGTTTTTAGCTTTCTGTATTTTATCTGTGTTGCTTTAATTTGTGTAAGCCGCCTTGAGTCCTGGGCTAGGAAGAAGACAGGATACAAATAAATAACTAAAATAATAAAAATAATAATTTCTCCTTTGACAGTCGCTGGGGAGAATGACCTGCACATTGTAGGTAAGCATCTGCTGTGGTTTTTGTAAACAGTGATTCCCCAGAAGTGTGATGGTGCCTGCCCTTCACTTCTTGGATTGCTTCACTCACTCCCTGGCAAGCAGAGCTGTGAGCAGCACCAACAGGGCCATGGATTGTTCTCCACACTACACAAATAACCAAACTGTTGTACCTGGGAAATGCTACAGCATTCACTGACTGGGCAAAACACAGGCCCAAGCCAGCCAGTTCCCACTGAGATGAGCTCCTCTGCTTGCTTCGTTCTGCTTCCACTAAGTCTTTGTTTCTTATTTAATTTCTCTCTCCCTTCCTGCCTTCTGCCACCCTCCCAGAGCAGCTCCTGCAGCCCACAGAGCAAATCTTGGGTGCCCAGCCCCACTCTCTCTGAATTCTGAAACTTCACCAACCACACACTTCAAAGCCAAAGCTGAAATATTGCTTTTTGAAAGATTAAAACTTGCCTTGTTTTTGTGTACTAGGCACACATGTGGAGCTTTGCCTGAAGGTGCTGCCACTGATCCCCACTGCTGCGTCCATATGTATATTGTTCATTTTATAAGTGTGCATGGTGCCCTTCAATACAGATATTTCCATGGTCGCTTATGGGGAACGAGAATGATGCAGCCATTGGCTTCTGGGTAGCTTTAGCTGTGCCCAGGTTTGTCCATGCTGCTGCATTGTGGGGCAGCAATAGGAGTGCTCCTGCAGCTTATTCTCCAGAAATGCTTCTCCCAAGGTCAGCCCACAAAGTTGTTTATGCTGCTCTCCTCTCTCCTTCTCCTATAGGCTCTGATGTCACTGTCCAGATCATCTCAAGCGATGCCAACTTGCTAGTGCAGCTGCCTTTTGGTTCCCAGACACAGACTTTCTTGACAGAGGTCAGGAAGCGCTGCAGCCCAGCAGGTACGATACTCTGTTACTCATGAGAAGGCCTCGAAGTTTGGGCTACATTTAATTTTGCAAAGGACTGGAGTGGGGGTCAGTGTTGAAGTCCTGAGACTTGTATGGGAGCTTGCCACAGTGACCAATTCTTTAAAAGGCTTCAAACCACCATATACTTGATTGTCACTGATGCGTTTCAGTGCAGCATTTCATGATAAGAAATATGGTCTGGGCTTCCAAGCCCTGGGCTTCCCTTGGTCACAGAGTTTGGCAAGGTTAGAGGAGCCTACGTTGTGCAAGTAGTCTAACAACCCACTGAGGAACAGACAGAAGTATCTTGGTCCCTGATGCTGGCAAGGACATAGCTTGGATCCTCCTTGTTACAACAGCTCCACTGTTGTTACAAGGCTGCCTGGTTGTTTGCAGTTCAAAATGCTGGTTGTGACCATAAAGCCTTATATGTCCAGGCTATCTGGAGGACTGAATCTCCCCAAATTAGCCTGCCTGGGCTTTGAGATCTCATAGGAAGGCCTTTCTCTCAGTCTCACAACTTTCACAGGCATGCTTGGTGAGGACATGAGAGAGGGCCGCCTTCGTGGTTGCTCCCAGATGGCGGAACTCCCTTCCACAAGAGGCTAGCTTTCCTTTAGCCAGCAGTCCAAAACTTTTTTGTTTTGACAGGCCTTTGGCCATTAACTGGCTGCTGTGGTAGGGTTTCTGAGAGGTGGTGGTGCGTGTTTGTGCAGTTTTAAATGGTTTTAAGTGGTTTCAGTGCTGTTTGTAATAGGATTAGTTTTTGATGTTTGTATTGATTGTTTGTGCTTAGTTATACCATATATGTTTTAATTTATGCTGTGAGCTGCCATGGGTCCTGCACTGGGAGTATAAGTCAGAATATAAAATAAACAATTAAATTCTCTGCCTGTGAGAGGATGACCTGGAGAGAACAAGTGAGCAAGATGCATTTGTCATGGTGGGACAGATCCGGTGCTTGCTTGCTAGTGCAATGGGGCCTCCACCAGATGCAAGACCCCCTCTCCGGTGCCACTCTAGGGCAGGATGGCAACAAGACAGCAGCAGACAGTTAAGACAACAAGAAGGAAGAATCCAAATTCTGCCTATGTGCTCTTGTAGTTGAGTGGAAAGACTAACCAGAAAGAGAGCCTCCGAAATATATCTCAGTGCAGCACAGTGGGTCATTCTACCCCCCCTCCTTCAATTAGTGGGGCCTTCCTTCTACCTAATTTATTAATTTCATAAAATTTACACACTGCTTGATTGCAAACAACCTAAAAGCCGTTTACAAAAACAAAAAAACAAAAACACACCAACCCAGGATAATATTATAAATAGGAAGCATTAACAACAATAATTTAAGACTTAATAGAAGTAAAAATAACTGTAAACAAAAACATATTCAAACTCACATCAGCTTCATAAATATCTGGGTAGGCTAGTCTAAATAGAAATGTTTTTAGCAGGTGCTGAAAATAGTAGGGTGAAGGCGCCTGCCTGATATCAATAGGCAGCGAGTTCCAGAGTGTAGGTGCTGCCACACTAAAATGTTGAATTCTTACAAATGTAGAATGGGTATTATTATGAGGCATCTGTAATAGTGCCAGTTCTGCAGATTGGTGCCGTTGAGTGGGTGAACAGGAGGTAAGGCAATCTCATAGGTAAACTGGTCCCAAGGTGTTAAGGGCCTTATATCCTAATAATAACCCATAGAACTTAACCTTGAACTTATGCCTTAAGTGACTGCCACCTTTCCTGCCCAGAAGTCCAAGGGGCTGCCACTTTCCTCTCCCACATCCATCAATCTCTCTCCCCCACCCCTACTTTCCCCAAAACCTTAGCCTTCTCACTCCCAACTGCGGTGAAGCCCAAGCGCACTTGATCGGACTCTTTTAGCCTTTCTCCCTTCGCCCCTTAATGTTCCGCCAGCGGGATAGACGCGGGAGTAGAGCTGCTGGCACGACCAGTATTATGTATGGCGGGTCGTCAGCGCACACGGAGCTTACCAAAGCATGAGGGTCCGCCTGCAATGCGAGAAAATGCTCATTGTGATGGTCATGACCATCAACGATGAATCAAGGTATTTTTAGCCGCGGTAGCGCGCGGCGAGGGAGTCCGCATCTTGCCATCCCTCCTGTGGGGGCGCTGCTGAGCTCCGCTGGGCTGATCTGGATCCGCTCCACCTCGGGCGGGGGCGTTTCTGGAGGCGAACCCCACTGTGATTGGCCGAGCCGAGCGAAGGGTGTGGCCTGGTGGGCAGCCGCTCCTGGGATTCAGACCGGGCGATGTGCGCTTCTTGGCGGCGGCGCGCAGGTAGGAAGAGGCGCGCGCTGAGGACTAGGCGCTTGATCGCGACTCGGGAGGAAAAGATGACCCGCCGTTGCCTGTGGTGTCCGGCCGGCCGGCTGGCTAGCCTACTGGCGGGAAGCTCCTTGGAGCGGGGGGTTCTCCAGACTGTGCCCTACCTCGCAGGGCCGTTGTGAGGGAAGCAGGGCCGCCGCCACTTGCTTCGCCTGGAGAGGCGGCAGCAGGTCCCGCCCATACTAGAGCCCGGTTAAGGGAAGGAAGATGCTGGGCCCCTTCCCCGACGCGCGTTGCAGCCCTAGGCCAGCCCTGCAGGTGCTGGCTGGGCGGGGGCAGCCCCGAGGCGCGCCCTCTTCCTGCTGCTCCGGGCTACCCGCCTTTTCCTCGGCTGGCGCTTCTTCCGCGCAGGCAACTACTCGGGAGGAGGAGGATTTCGCCCTTGTACTTTGGTTGCATTTTCCACACACCCAACGTGGCTTTTGCCCTGCCTGGAGGGATGGAGAGAGCCGGGCTCCTCTGCAGGGAGGAGTCGGGAGAGATCCGTTGGCCCGGCGGCAGGAAATCCTTTGGCGGCAGGCAGCCGCCCGCTCGTCTCGGGTCCCTGGTTGCTCCTGCAGCAGCAGCAGAAGCAGCACCTGCTGGTTCCTGGCTGGGAGCCCATTCCGCCTGCGGGGAAAATGCTCTCTGGGCGCGGTGGGCTTCAGGGCTAAGGGACCCCCCCCCAACACTTTCCTTCTCTGCCCAAGCAGCCCCCACCTGCTGCTTGGCGATGCTCCATGTGGAGGCAGGAAGCTCTTTGCAATGTTGCAGTTTCAAGGCTCTTTTCCCCAGTCCCAGGCACGGCTGGCTTCAGGCTTTCCTGGTGGGTGGGGGTGGTGCAATCCCCCACCCCACCCGATGCTCTTACCTGGCCTGGGCTTGTCTGCGAGGGCAGCAGCGGTTGGGCTGCTTCTGGCCTCAGAGAAGTTCGGCTGGTTTCTCTCCCTCCACCCCAGTGCCTCTTCCTTTCGTCATCCTGCAGAAAGTGGATTACCAAGAGGAGCGGATGTTGCCGTTTCAGCCAAAAGAATATAGAGATGTTGAAAGTGGAGCTTACTCACAAACACTTGACCCGTAGTCTACCGAAAGAAAATTCTTTACAGACAGTATTCCTCATTTTGGACTCTGGGATGTTGGGCTTTAGGAGGGAGCTTAACCTGCTGTTTAAAAATGTTCAGGGTTCCTAAAGCATTAATCAGAACTCAGTTTCAAATATTCAAACTTCTGAAGTTTGAAGGTTTGCTAAATTGTGACTGTGGTTGCACTTCTTTTTCAGTACCCTGGAAGACCCCCCCCCCTCCCCAGTATGTGGATCCATTGGTTCCTTGAGCTTTGAAATGTGACTTAAAAACAAAAACACAGCACCATGAAAAGCTCAGTCTCTAGGAATGTAAGAGATTGTGAGTGATTGGTGTGTCCGTGTGCTATTTGTGGACTCAACCTCCCCCCCCCCCCCCGCTCCATGCTGCTGAATCACTTTAGATGTTTCTGGCTTTGGTCAGGCAGGCTTATCTGGTGCAGAGAGGGTTGCAGAATGGGCAGCTTTGCCTGCACCCCGTGATTTTAATACGCTACTTCTGGCCTGGAAGAAACATAATGTGAAAAACTGCTAATAACTCCATTGGCATTCGGATAATCTGCTAATAACACCGTTGGCATCTCAGGAGCTGATGGAGGGGTGTGCTTTTGCAGGTGAAGTCAAAGACCACTTGTAATTAAGTAGTCTAAAAAACCAGTAACGTGAAGCACAGATGACATTGCTGTTTCTTTGGGGCACGTGATTGTCCTGGTGCCTGCTTTTCAGACTAGTAAGGGGTGGCAGAGAAAAGGTGGCATTTGTGTAGGACCAGAACATTACTCCCTTGGAGAAGGCACGAGCGGGAATTTGGATCTGGGAGGCTGCCATTGGCTATGCTGGATCCTCTTCCCTAGCCCACAGGGCTCGCTGCTTCTGCTCTCATTGTGGTCTGTGGCTCTTATTTGTGCTAAAAGGCAGCTTGCTCGCTTTCCTCCCAAGTTCTCCCTCTTGCTATGTTCATCTTTTTCCGCTTGGCCATCCCTGAGACCAACTGTGAGCAGCGCAGCATTCTGGCAGCCTTCCCTTCCCCCCACCCCAAGGAATGGTGTAGCCAAGATAAGGAGGAGCCTCCTCCTTCTCTGAGAGTCAGCCTTGGGCAGGCTGAGATTTCCCAGGCACTGGTCAGAGACAGACAGCTTTCATGGGCTTCCTTTTGCTTCCAGGAGTTGCTGGGAATGAGGACCCAAAGCAGAAGGGAAACAGCCACCAGCTATGAACCAGATGGGCAGCACAAGTGGTACCAGTCCTGCTGCTGCCGTCCCCAAGTAAGTTGAACATGACAGCCACAGCCAGCCTTGGAAACATGTAACGTAATGGGGTCAGAGTGCCTCTGTGCCTTTTGCTTCTGGGGTTGCTGGGCTTGGATTGCGGTTCAGAGAGTGTCTTTTTCTCAGGCAGACTTCCCAAAGTTAACAAGAGCAGAACCTCCCTGAAATTTCTTTTACTATCCCTTCCTTCTCGCTTTATAGCAGTGGTTCCCAAACCTTATCTGGCCACTGGCCCCTTGGTTCTATAAAAGGCATTATTCAGAATAGTGGTTTGCATGACCCACTAAGGAAGGTAATAACATAATAATAGCACACAGTAACAATTGCATATTGTTATGTAGTGTAGTTTCACCCTGGGCCAACAGGGGGATACTGTATATAGTTTTCACTCAGGTCTGTAGATAGTTTTCACTCAGGTCCGCGCCAGTTAGTTTAGGCGGGAACTCTGGGCTGTTGTGGTTACAATGTTGACAGCCGGCTGCCTATAAATACAGGCCGGCTGAGCTGTTCGCAGTCAGTTCTATTCCAGCTTACCAGAATAAAGAGCTACTTGAAGAAATCGCTGTGCCGGCTGCTATGTCAACCCATGACTTAACACATATTTATTCATAATCCAATTACAGTGGTACCTCGGGTTACATATGCTTCAAGTTACAGACTCTGCTGACCCAGAAATATTACCTTGGGTTAAGAACTTTGCTTCAGGATGAGAACAGAAATTGTGCTCTGGCGGCGCAGCAGCAGCAGGAGGCCCCATTAGCTAAAGTGGTGCTTCAGGTTAAGAACAGTTTCAGTTTAAGAACGGACCTCCGGAACGAATTAAGTACTTAACCTGAGGTACCACTGTAGAACTAATTGGTTTAATTCAACAAAATGAATGAACTTTATGTAGTGTTACCAACTTTTCTAAGTCTGACAGTCATTTGCACCTGCAGCACTCCCCCCCCCCGCCTCTTAGCACCCCCTACGCAGGGAATCCCACAGCCCCTCAGAGGGCACCACTTTGGGAACCACTGTTTTAAAGAGTAACCTGCCTGACGTGTACTATAGCAATTTTGAAGCAAAGGACAACCCCTACCGTGTGCTTGTGCAAGGCTCCCAAATTGGATTGGGCCCACAGCTGGGCCACTCCAAAGTGCCAGATAAGACCCTGTATCTAATGGGGGGGCAGTCCTCACCTTTCCTCTTGCAGACCTGTAAGGAGGGCAGTGGTCCTGAGGATGCAACACTTGTAAGTGTAGAACAAAGTGGGTTTTTCCTCCTGGCACTGACTCAGGGCAGTGAGGGGGAGGCATGTGGGCTAGTGTTGCAGCCCCATCTTGGCCCTCCTTGTGCCAGCGTGGGGCTCCTGGCTCCGCTTTGCTTTCTGCCGATAGCAACAACACCTGAAATAAACCAACCCCTGCCCCCTTCCCCAATCTTCCTCCCTCTCTCTGCCCTTTCCTCTCATTTCCAGGCCCAACAAGCCCAAGAATGACATCACCAGCGAGATGGTCCGGTCCTCCAGTGTGCTGGTGTCAGAGGAGATGCGGGGCTTGTCCATGCAGACCTTTGGGCTGAGAGACACCATCATCAAGTCTCAGCTCCTGCAGAAGGAGGACGAGTACACATACCTCCAGAGCTTCAAGTAAGGGTGATTATGAGAGAGCAATGCCGGGTGTGTGTGTGGCAAAGGCAGCTTCACGCTTCCCCTAGGGGGATTCCTTGAATGACCCCGAGCCTTTTCCACCACAAATGCACAAGCCCCTCGGCTATTTGCCTACTAATTTTATTTATTTATTGCATTCATACTCCACCTTTTTCTCCGAGGAGCTCAAGGTGGCATAGGTGCGTGTTTCTCCCCTTCCTCATTTAATCCCCACAACGACCTTGTGAGGTAGGGTTTGCTGAGAAGCAGTAACTGGTCCCCAAGGTCTCAGTTTCATAGCTGAGAGGGGATTCAAACCCTGGTTTCCCAGGTCCTAGACCAACACTTTAATCATTGCACTATGCTGGCTCTCACTTGGGTGGGTGGGCCTGGGTGTAGAAATGGCAGTGGGGTTCCTCCTCCTCCTGTGCTGGTGGGGCAGAGGTTGTTGGCAAGATCTGGAGCAAGATTTTGTGTGTTTCCTGGCAGGTTTTTCGTGGGCACATACAATGTGAACGGCCAGTCGCCCAAGGAGACTCTCCAGCCCTGGCTGAGCCACGATGCTGAGCCTCCAGACATTTACTGTGTGGGGTACGTGTGGGGTGCTTCTTATCCATTTATTATTATCTTTCTCGTCCACCTTTTATCTCCTCCAAGACCCCCTTAACATGCATGGGTCATCCCCTCTTCATTCTGTCTGTACATCAGCCATGCGAAGTAGGCGAGCCTGAGAGGCAGTGACTCACTCTCAGGTCACCCGGTGAGCTGGGTGGGAGGGATTTGCACCTGCCATCCCCTCCTGCCCTAGTCCTCCTCCTCTTCCTCTTGATGAGCATTGCCCACGTGGATACACGCGTGTGAGCACTTGAACAAATGGATGCCTTTCTGCTTCACTAGGTAGAGGAGGTCTCTTGCTCCTGCAGTGCCTTGCAGCCACAGGTGGCAGTGTTGGCCACCAACCTAGACTGCTTTGAAAGAGGATTGGACAAATTCATGGAGAGGGTTACTGATGGCTATTAGCTTACAATGGCTAGGCTCTGCCTCCACAGTCGGACGCAGCAGTGCTTCTGAATATCATTTGCTGGAAACCGCAGGAGGAAATAATGCTGTTCTTGCGCTCTATTCCTGCTTGAGGACTTTCCATGAGGGCATTTGATTGGCCGCTGTGAAAAGAGGATGCTAGACTCTATGGGCCATTGACCTGATCCAGCAGTCCTTCTTGGGTTCTTCTCCATGGAGGGAGGGTATGCCCCTAGCTCATGGTTTGCTCTCTTGAATGCAGCTTCCAGGAGCTTGACCTGAGCAAAGAGGCCTTTTTCTTCAATGACACGCCAAAAGAAGAGGAATGGTTCAAAGCTGTGACTGAGAGCCTTCACCCGGAGGCCAAGTATGCCAAGGTGAGCTGGCTTCAGCTGCTGAGAGGGCCCAGTGACCCCCTCTTTCTCCCTGAGGCTCTTCTGCCCCTTCATGCAGCCCTCTGTGTGTGTGTTTGGGGGCGGGATGTTCTGCAGAAGAGGTTAATGGCAGGGGTTGGGGACAAGGGGACTGTGCTTCCCTGTGAAGGACTGTAAAAGAGGCTCATGCCTTTTCCAAGTCCACAGGTGATGGGGAAGGCAAAAAGGGGCCTTCTGCAAGGCCGGGGGGGGGCAATTCCATTTTCCTTCCAGGGCAATGTGAGCAGCAGCCAGTGAGGTCACACCTGGCATATTGGCAAGCTGGAACGTTAGCAGAGGGCAACCAATAAAGGGCATGGAAAGAAAGCCTGATGAGGAACAGTTGAGGATGTTTAAGCTGGAGAAGAGGAGACTGGGAGGTGATATAAGAGCCGTCTTCAAATATCTTGAGGGCTGTCACATGGAGGATAGAGAAAACTTGTTTTCTGCTGCTCCAGGGTTAGGACACGAACCAGTGGACTCAAATGACAACAAAGGAGGTTTTGACTAAACATTAGGAAGGACTCTGATAGTAAGGTGGTGGAGTCTCCTTCATTGGAGGTTTTTAAGCAGAAGTTGGATGGCCATCTGTTGGGGATTGCTGAGCTATGATTCCTGCATTGCAGGGGTGTGAACTAAATGGCCCCAAGAGGTCATTTCTCTACAGACCTGGTATTCTATAGCCTTTGTGTCTTTGTTTCCCTGGTTAACATGCAGGTAAAGCTTATCCGGCTTGTTGGGATCCTGATGCTATTCTACGTCAGGACTGAGCTCGCTGTGCATGTTTCTGAGGTGGAGGCCGAGACGGTTGGCACGGGCATCATGGGGAGGATGGTGAGTATTCATCACCCTCAAACTGGGGGTGTGCACGGGAGAGTCTGCTGTTGCCATTCTGGGGCCACCCAGACCTCTCTCTCTGAGAGCCTTGCAGGGTGGTGCCCCCTCATCCTTTCTGGGGTGTGTTGAGGCTGCTGCTGATACCAGCATCTCATCTACTCTTGCAGGAGATGGACATGAGGCTTTGTTTGGCCTGGGTACCAGGCTCCCCTGCAGAATGTAGGCTGCATCTGGACCCTCAAAAGGTTTTGAGGGGTCCCAACTCAACCCCACCCCCACAATTTGCCAAACTTAAAAAAAAAATCTAAAATATTGTTACTATTATTGCATTTATATACCATTTTTTTTGCAAAGAGTTCAGTGTGGTGCACACACTTCTCCTTTGCATTTTATCTTCACAACAGCCCTGTGAGGTAGGTTAGGCTGAGAGGCAGTGACTGGCCCAAAGTTATCCAATAGACTTCGTGGCTGAGCGGGGATTCAAACCCTGGTTTCTCCCTGATCCTAGTCTGACACTATAATCACTCTGACTCTGCACTATCTGCTCCTGTGGGTCCTCCGCAATGATTCTGTGATGCCCAAAAGTTTTTGTGAGTCACCAAAATTTCTCCTTTAATTAAAACTTGGCCATGCCCGCTTTTGCATAGTGTTTTTTTTAGCCCCTTGGCCCCCAAAAGGTTAGCCACCCCCTGCTTCGTAGGCCCTCTCTTTGCACCTTCCTGCTTGCTTCAGAGAGGTCTTGGCTGGTTGCTTTGGAGTTTCTTCTGCCTGCTCCTTCCATAGCAGGCAGGGAATAGAGTCGCCACCTTCTCTCTCTCTCTCCCGGCTCCTCCTCTGCTGCTTCTGCTTCTGCTGCGAATGAAGGGCAACAAGGGGGGAGTGGCCATCCGCTTCCGGTTCCACAACACCACCATCTGCTTCGTGAACGCCCACCTGGCAGCCCACACCGAGGAGTACGAGCGGCGGAACCAGGACTTCCGTGATATCTGTGGACGCATGCAGTTCTGCCCGCCAGAGCCAGGCCTCCCACCCCTCACCATTGGCAAGCACGAGTAAGTGGGGGCAGGGGGAGGGGAGCAAGTGGGAAAGGATCCAGCCTCTTCTGTGAAGTTGTGGAGCAAATATGGAAACTTGGCTTTATGGGTTGGGGAATAATAATAATTTTATTATTTGTACCCCATCCACCTGAACTGTGTTTTTTGTTGTCATCTTATGGTATGTCTCCTTAGGGCCTTGTCTCTTCTTCACCCCCCACCTCACCCCATTTCCCCTAATTTTTAATATTTGCTTGGCTTCGCGTAAATTTGATTCTATTACCTACCGTTTCTTTCTTTTTTAAAAATGAAAAGCAGTTTGGGGAGTGGCTGCTTAACCCCATTCCTTCCTGCCGTTTTCCCTTTCAAAGTACAACCCCACCCCATCTTGCACGGTGTCTTTCTCCCATGAAGGAGGGCGTTTTGGATGGAGAAGCAGCTGGAAGGAAAGGAATTCAGCAACAGCATCTCTCCCTCTTTGTGCTCATAGACTTCTATAGTTGCTTTTCATTTGCTTATGGAAAAAGCCTCCCCCAGGAGACAGTTGCATGTATCTGCTGTGTAATCTATAGTTTGGTGCTTATTTCATCAGCCAAGACAGTTTGCCAGTGATGGGAGTCCTCTGGACTACAGTTCCCATCATCCCTGGCCTTGGCTGTACTAGTGGGATTTGGAATCCAACTGGAGGGCTACAAAGCAGCTCTCTTTGCCAGCACTGTAGTCTGCTGCCTGTCTTCCGCCTCCTAGCTATGTGAGGTGGCTTCAAGTCTAGGACTTGTGTGAAGGATCATCTATTTCCCAGACCTTCTGGTGGTCACTGATTTGCTTCCACGTTAGTAGGAGGAACTAGGAAGGTTGTGGGTGGGCAAGGAGCTGGGAACATCTCTTCATTTGCTGGGTTGACACTGTGCATCTTGGGGCTACGTGGCTGGGAATGGGAGCTATGAAGAGCCTCAAGGGTGCTGGAGCCATTTTCTTACACCAGCGCCTCCCTTGCAGTGTGGTCTTGTGGCTGGGAGACTTGAACTACAGGCTGGAGGAGCAGGACGTGGAGCGGGTGAAGAAGCTGGTGGAGGCCCACGATTTCGCCACCCTTTATCAGCATGACCAAGTATGTGAGGGAGCTTTCGGTAGGCAGGCGAGATCTGCCTTCCAACAAGGGTCAACCTTCCAAAGAGAGAGAGTGCGGAGCTCTTGCGGCATTCATGGGGCCAGGGCAGGTGTTGGAGGAATGCTGCTCTGTTGCTGCAGCTGGTTCCAGAAAGTGGCTAGGAATGGCTGGGGAATCTTTCAGCTACAAGAGTCCCTTTACTTCTCCTTTGAATAAATGTTTTCATTCAATTTTTGAGAAATCTGTAAGCAAATTTAACAAAACACAACTGGACTGTTATTCCATCAAGACTGAAAACAGTCCCGGTGAGTTCCAAAGGAGCCTTAAGACATGTAGCATAACCAATCAACTATTTTGCTCTAGTAAGTCAGGAGTTCTAATGGACGTGGTTGGCCTGCATCAGGAGGCAGGATTTGCCGCAAGAAAGCGGGAAGGGAGGCGTGGACGGTCCCGAGGGAGGCTTGGGTTCGAAAGATGCTTTGCTGCTCAGTTTCACCTCTCCGCTCTCTTTCCTTCTCAGCTGAAAAAGCAGATGGAGGCCAAGGCGGTCTTTGAAGGCTTCCTGGAGGGAGAGATTTCCTTCCAGCCAACGTACAAATACAACACTGGGTCTGATGACTGGGACACCAGGTAGGCTTGTCAGGAGCACCACAGCCATTTTGGGTGCTCTGTTCTTTGCATGTCACCAACTCTAACAGGGAAGTGGTGATGGTCCAGAACAGCCAGAGGCTTCTCTTGTGCAGATGCTTCTCTGTAGCATCTGCACAAGACTAGACCAAAAAAACCACACGCATGCAAAGCCATTTTAACCTGTGAGCTTCTGTTTTGTTTTTTGTTTTTTAACCCAGTTAATAGCTCTTAGAATGCTGCTTTGGAGAAAAAACCCCTGAAATACACAAGCTAGTGATGGCCCCACCTCAGAGGGCTTACAAACTGGGGGAAGGAAAAGCAAAATGTTCCCCTTGGCTTAATGCCGGCAAGGGGATGTGGCAGCCCCCCCCCCATTTTGAAAGCTGCCACTTTTGGTCAGTACAGTGGTACCTCGGGTTACAGACGCTTCAGGTTACAGACTCCGCTAACCCAGAAATAGTACCTCAGGTTAAGAACTTTGCTTCAGGATGAGAACAGAAATCGCGCTCCGGCAGCGCGAGGCCCCGTTAGCTGAAGTTGTACTTCAGGTTAAGAACAGTTTCCGGTTAAGAACAGACCTCCAGAACGAATTAAGTTCTTAACGCAAGGTACCACTGTAGTTGGACTTTAAAATGGCATGAAAGGGTGTATTTTACTGGATGTATCCCACGACATGGGAAAAGTCATCTCTGTTTAGAAAGAGGCCTTGGAGATTTCTTGTGCAGAAAGACTGCAGATCTAAAAATAAGCAACTATGAACTTTTGGTTACTTTTTATTACATGTTACTGTTATTTTTATGAGATGTTATTTTTGTGGTTTTTTGTGGTTTTAAACTAAGTTGGTTTTTTAAAAAAAAGTTTTTAATGTTGTATTTTAAATTGTTGCACTGAGATCTTGGAGTGAAGGGTGGGTAATAAATTAAACAACAACAACAACGTCCCTGGACTTAGGAAGCTAACCTCTCCTGATGTAGTTTACAGCAGCCTTGTAATTTTATTTGGCAGTTACATAATTCCCTTTTGGGAGGTTTCCAGTGGGGTGCACTGTTCTCTTTCCAGGCTCATCCCATGTGGCTCTTAAGCCTGGGGCCAGCCCACTCACACTCTCCAAAGCAGCTGAATTAATAGAACAGGAACATCCGTGTGGAGTATGGGGAAGGTAATGGAGCAATGCGGACTACCATTCCTAGGACATCTCTAGAAACCGTCCCTGCAGACTTCAATTGTGGGCTGCCAGTGACTCCTACATCTCAGAAGATGGCAAGGCTTTGTTCTTGGGTTGAAAACAGCTGGTACACCCAGAGCAAAATGTTCCTCTACACACAATAGATCCCCACTCCATAGAAAACTAGCCTATTGAGGAGAAGGCTAAGCTGGAACCAGGGACTCCTTTCGTTTTGGGTATGGAGTGACTGAGGTCTCCCATCTCTCAGGGTATTGCAGACGCTGTCTGCTGTTTCCACAGTCTTCATGTGCTCTCCTCCTGACAGAGCCAAGTCTGGTGGCCGAAATGACCGTTCTTCTCCTTGCTTTGCCTCCCATGCAGTGAGAAATGCCGCACGCCAGCCTGGTGTGACCGGATCCTGTGGAGAGGGAAGAATATCTCTCAGCTGAGCTACCGGAGCCACATGGCCTTGAGGGGCAGCGATCACAAGCCAGTCAGTGCCATCTTTGACATTGGGGTAGGCATCCACCTCCCTCAAGCACAGCTGGTGTGAGAGCCTGGGGAGGGCTCCCGCCACTCTGGCTCCCTCCGTTTTGCCACCCTCTCCTTCTCTTCTACAGAATCATAGAGTTGGAAGGGCACTCCAAGGGTCATCCAGTCCAACCCAGAATCCCAGCAACCTTGGCTAGCTCTGAAGCTGGCCAGACACTGTGCTGCACAAGCAAATGCTGCATCTTCCACCTTCACACCCCCCGCCTTGCAAAAAATCAAATCAAATCTTGGGCCTCCTTTCTGTAGGTCTTTCCTGGGCACCTACCACATGGTGACATCTTTCCTTATCAGCTGAGCTTATACAGTCCAGGGGTGAAGGGCTGGAACAAGGATTATGACTGGTGTAAGCCAGAGGAGTGGGATTGCAGGACCCTTTAGCACTTTGGGGGGGGGGTGCCCCATGGGATGCGTTTGACAGCCAGCTTCCTCTGGAGCTTGGGTGTTGGGTGCTTAGTTAATATGGCAGGTGATGCTGAGGACTCCCGGGAGGGGGAACCTCCTCCCCTCTGTCCCTCCCCCCTTCTCCCCCCAGTGACCCTTCTGCTGCTGCTGCATGTTCCATTCAGGTGAAGGTGGTGGACAAGGAGCTCTACCGCAGATCCTTCGAAGACATAGTGCGCTCCTTGGACAAGATGGAGAACGCCAGCATCCCGTCGGTCACCCTCTCCAAGAGGGAGGTAGGATATGCTGCTGCTGCTGCCCTGGCCAGTGGGCAGCATCAAGAGGCTTGCTTCTGGAGATACAGCCCCACTGGGCCTGCTGGCTCAAGGCCACGTTTGGGGCACGGCAAGTTCATGGCATTCCACAGAGCGAACCTCCCAGCGGACCTCTTTCCCAAGCTTGCCGCTGGGACCTGTATGTTCAGTGGAGCTTGGGGTCAAGCCCTTAGTTCATAGAATTGTAGAGTTTGAAGGGACCTCAAGGGTAATTTAGGGTCCAACCTCTGGCATGCAGGAATCACAGCTACAGAATCCCTGACAGCTGTCTGTCTGACCTCTGTTGGAAACCCCCCAATGAAGGAGAGTGCACCACCTTCCGAGGGACTCTGTTGCACTGCCGAATGGCTCTTACCCTCAGAAACTTCTTCCTAACCTTTAATTGGAATCCCCTTCCTTGTCCCTTGTCCCTTCCATTGGTTCAGGTCCTCCCCTCTGGAGCAGGAGAAAACAAGCTTGCTCCATCTTCTATGGAGACAGATCTCCAGTTATTTGAAGATGGCTTTCCTATCTCCTCTTAGTCTCTTCTCCAGGCTACATAAGCACAAGTTCCCTTTTCTTTCCCACCCTTCTCCTCCGTGTTTGTGGTTCTTTCCCCACCCACAGTTCCTCTTCAAGGATGTGAAGTACATGCAGCTCCAGATGGCGTCCTTCACCATCCACAATGGGCCCGTTCCTTGCCAGTTTGAGTTCATCAACAAGCTGGACGAAGAGGCCTACTGCAAGCCATGGCTGATGGCAAACCCCAACAAGGGCTTCCTGTTACCTGGTGAGCTGGGAGGTCTCTGTCTTTTCATGGTGTTTTACCACCCTTCCTACCTGATCCTCCCCCCGGGTGACAGCCACAGATTGCTCTTGGCCAGCCCAACCTGATTCAGCATCCTGTGGCTGTGTGCACCTGATCCATCCAAGGCCCTCCAAATATGCTCAGTTTGATTCAAGCTTCGGACAAATCTGGTTCAGAGCCCCAATAGCCACAGTTGCTCACAAATTAAAATATCACTTCATTGATCTGGAGAATAGCCGTGTTTGTAGCAAGAACAGCAAAAGTCCAGCAAAAAATTAAAGACAGATTTATTGCGACACAAAGTACCTTTTGCATTTCACCAGCTGTCAGGGCAGGGAGGGCGCTGGGTATCCATGAGCAGACTCTGTCAATGCCTCATCCAGGGACCCAGACAGTCTTCTGCCTGCAGCTCTTTGGACTCACAAAGCAGCCACCCCTCCCCTTTTCTTGGAGTTGTTGTCAGGTGAGCAGCTCCAGGCCCCTCAGTTTGTATTTATTTATTTGTATTTATACCCCGCCTTTTTCTCCAAGGAGCTCTAGAGTGGTGTACATGGTTTTTCCCCCCCTTATTTAATCCCCACAGCAACAACCCTGTGAGGTGGGTTGGGCTGATTGGCCCAAGGTCGCCGGGTGAACTTGGTGGCCAAGTGGAGATTCAAACCTTGGTCTCTCCCAAGTCCTAGTCCAGCGTTCTAACCATTACACCACACTAGCTCTCAGTTTATCCTTTGAGGCCTTTGATGCTGTGGATCCTGGTGTGTGTTGACAGTGGGGCTGGGTGAGCATTTTGTGGGTTTGCTCTGGAATGTTTCTTTCAGCAGGAGCTTGCTCATCTTCCATCAGGGACCTTCCTTGTAGGGATCCATCTTTCCTCCTCTTTCTCCCCACCCCACAAGCTACATGTGGTTGTGAGATGCTTTGAGGCTTGGTGTTGTCAAACTGTCCATCTTCCTTCTCCCTGAAGATGCCGAGGTGACGGTCGAGTTGGAACTGTTTGTGAACAAGTCAACAGCAACGCGCTTGAACTCTGGAGAGGACCAGCTGGAGGACATCCTGGTGCTGCACCTCGACCGGGGCAAAGATTACTTCTTGCCCGTATCAGGGAACTACCTGCCCAGCTGCTTCGGGTGCCCCCTGCAGACCCTGTGCCACATGAGGGAGCCCATCCAAGAGATGTCGCCAGAGGCCATCAGGAAGCTAGTGAGTTCTTATGGCCAACCAAGTCTGCTGCCCTTCATCCCAAAGACATTTGGGGGGAGTTGGCTTGGGAGGAGGATTGCAGACTAGGTGTCTCTTTGGGGACCTTCCAACTCTGCTTCATGTGCAATGCTGCTTTGCAGAGGATGCTGCCTCAGACTACACAGTCCTTCCAGTCCAGGACTGTTCACACTGACTGGCTATGGCTCTTCAGGCGGCGGGTGTGTGTGTGTGTGTGTGTGTGTGCATTCCCTGTCCTACCTGGAGATGCCATAGGGAATTGAGCTTTGGAGTCTTCTGCATGTAGAGCAGGTGCTCTACCACTGAGATTATGGCCTTTCTCCAACCCTGTTGCTCCCTTCCAGGTTCTGCTGCCATTGTGGTCAAGTGACAATGATGCCTCCTGGCCCGAGAAGCCCTTGGACATTCCTAAGGAGTTGTGGATGATGGTTGACCACCTGTACCGCAATGCTTGCCAGCAGGTTAGAAGGATGCCCCTGGACCTGAACTTCCTTTTGTGTGCTTGGCCTTGTTATGGGAAGAGGGAAGGATAGGAGCTTAGCTTTGGCAAAGCCCAGCAGGGGCAGGAGTGCTCATTAAATGCTGGGGAATGAACAGTATCTATGGTGCTTGCTAGCTAACAAGGGGGCTTCTACACTGTTTGTGCCCTGGAGTTTGGCTGCATTGGGTTCATTGTGCCCTTGGGATGTGTGATTGTATTCATGGGTGCAGCTTCACAGGAAGGCACTTCCAGCAGATCTAGCAAAGTGAAACTGATCTTTTTTTGCCTTCTGTGCCTTCCTTGCCTTTCACTGTGGCTGCTCATGTTTGCAGGAGGACCTCTTCCAGCAGCCGGGCCTGAGGGTCGAGTTTGAACAGATCCGTGATTGCCTGGACACAGGGATGATGGATACGATCAGTATCCTTGGAGGAAGTCTGTTTGAAAGAGGGACTGGCATTATCTTTCTCTCTCCCACCCCTTGTAATTCAGTACAGTACAATTGCATATTATGCACAATTTCAACCATATGCGGTTGAAGGCAGGCTGGTTGAAATTCTACAAGTTAAATGCAAGCAAGGCAGAGGGCTTAAATGCTCTTGTCACACTGGGAAAGCCTTCTGGTGTTTCTGGAACGTAACCCCTGCATAAGATGCAACTCTACTTCATTACCGTGGAGTCTGCTGATTCTCTCTGCAAAGTACATGTTTACCCCCTCCCTCCCTTAGCAGTTCAGTCAACCCGATCCCCATCCCAGCTACCTATGAGCTGGGTTTCTGCGCCAGATGAGACAAACATTTCTCTCCCTGTGAATACCTTATTGCAGCTAGTTGTCATCTTGCATTTTTTTACTGCCTCTGTGGTTGTGCAGCCCCCTACGCTGGGGCCTCCTTATGGGTGAGTGGGCTTTCCCAGTGTCTCAGCATTGCAGCTGGCACTGGCCTCATCTTGGCGACTGCCTGTTCCTTAAACATCACTGGCCAGATGGCAGCAACCACTCGGTGGCGGAAGCTTTGCTGCTCTTCTTGGAGAGTCTTCCTGAGCCGGTCATCTGCTACACGCTGTACGACAAGTGCTTGGAGGCTGCTGATAGCCATGTGCTGAGCAATCAGGTGAGCCAGTAGAAGCCGGCTGCCAAAATGGGAGACATGTAATGCCCTGGTCCCTTGGTGGGGGAAGTGTGTTTGCAGGCGTGCAACAGCTTCCTTCTCTGTTGTTCCCAGGTGGTTTCCACGCTGCCCAAGTGTCATAAAAACGTCTTCAGTTATCTGATAGCATTTCTGCGGGAACTACTGCAGCACTCTGTGAAAAACCACTTGGATGTGAATATTCTTGGTGAGAACTGATCCTGGCTTTGGTGGATGATCCTAGGATGAGTGAACTGGGATAAACGGGGTCATGACCTATTTGATTTAAATGTTTTGGCATGTCACACACCTGACAGGAATGAAGCTCATTTAACTATGCCCTGGAGCAGCTTGTTTCAAAACATAGGTTGAGCCAAGTGGAGGTGGTGAGCTGGCATCTCAACTCCTGTGCATTTAATTATTCGGGACACTGTGCCAAAAAACCATCAGCTGGTGCGGTGGGCCTTGAGAAGGGCAGGCATCCCCCTTGATAGCTCCTTACATGGAACTCAGATGCCACTTTTGTATGCAAACACTAATGGATTTTTTTATCCTGTTTCCTGTGCAGGTAGCATATTCGGGGGGCTACTGCTCCGTCCCCCTCCTGGTCACACCAAGCCAGGCATTGCCGAGAAGCGAAAAGCTCAGCAATTCATCCAGCAGTTCCTCTTGCGGGAAGAGATCACACTGTGAAGGCCGAGGACTAGTAACTATAGGCAGGGCCTGTGTAAAAAATAGTTTTGTATATTCAGAAAATTAGATTTTGCAGTAATTGTGTTTTTTTAAAAAAATGTAAAGACATGTACATACTTTTTAATTCTGAAGCACAGGTCAGGTGGGAAGAAGCAGCTGCTACTGTGTTAGCAGCACTATAAAGCACAGTGAGTTTTTATATTAAAAATCCAGTCTGCACACTGGATCTTGACTGTGGTATGTCATGTTTTGTGACAAAACAATGTCCTTCTTTATCTGCCATTGCCTTAATGCTTAATCTTTGATAACCTAAATCAGCTACTTTTATAAGCAAAGAATGTAACATAAATATAATTAAACATTTTAACTTATTAATGTCTATGCTGCTTGCTCTCATTGTTAATCCAAGGAGGTGTCTGGCTTGGCAGCAGCAACACCTGAGGAGCGCCTTTGGGATCTTAACATAAGAGCATAGAGTCTGCTGCATCAGGCAATGGCCCATCATGAGCATAGCCATCATGGCTAGTAGGCTTTGATAGCCCTCTGTTGGATAGAGATCAGGAGTGTGCACAAAGCTGGCTTAAAGCTAAATCTCTGGCCACTCAAAAGCCACATTGGCTTCATGTCTAGTTCATGGCACTTGCTGGGAGCCTGGTTCACTCTTTTTGACTGGAGGGAGTCTGTTGTTTCTCTGAATGGGGATGGAGGCCCAGGACTGTGATCACATTTTGTGTTCTTACAAGGTATGAAGGCATCACAGCCAGGATTTGCTGCCCTGACTAGCAACAATGTTTGATGCTGTAACTGCAGGGGAAGCTCTCACTTCCTCCTTTTCAGTCCTGCCTTCCTCCTATTAGTGGGCTTACCCTCTGGCCCTCCTAGCCTAGAAAGTTTCCTGTGCCCCTCTAACAACCACAGTGGAGGGTTAATGGAACACACAACCCTTCATAAATTGAAAGGAAATGTGTGGTGGGGCTCTGAGGATGTGTGCGCAAGCCCCATAAGAAGTGAGAAACATTTCTCTCCATTTTCTACACACTGAGCTATTGCGTCCCTTCCATTACCTCTTAAGTCTTCAGTTGTTGCAAGCCAATTGCTTGATTATTTTGGTTGCCTGTTTCTGCCCTGCTCCCCTGGTGTGGTGATGGGGCACCTGCCAAGTTCTTTCAAGCAAAGAGCAGCCTTGATTGACTGGGTTACCACCTACACTGAGATTGGAGTGATAGGGAGTCGAGTAGGCAGGCAAGAGACCCCCCCCTCTTGTGCCCACTTGGGGCCCCTCCAGGTAACCTGCTCATTAACGAGCCTTTTAATTAGCAAGCCTCTAAATTGTCGAGCTTTCTCCCTGACTTCAATAGTACTTGCTCATCCTGGGGTGCTTCGATAAACTGCTTTGACATTATTATTGTTTTCAAATGAAGTAGATTTCTATAAAATAGATATGCCAAGGAGCGAATCGTCCTGCGTTCTTCAGGCTTTTAAAGCTCCTCTCAATCATTCATCCACGCCACTCTTTTCCAGTGCATTCCCTCGCCCACTTTCCAAGCTGCCCGAGCCTTTTTTTGGGTGGGCAAAAAAACAGTTTCAAATCCAGCTGCGCGCTGCGTCCTGCCCCGGCATCTTCCCGTCCACTTCCCGCAAAACAGATGCAGCCTGGACTCGGTGCCAGAAGAGGCTTTTCGCTCTCCATAAGGGGAGGGAGGCTGCAAGGTCGGCCTTCCCAGGCTCTCGGATGATTCACAACAGTCCCTGCAATGAAGACCCGACGCTCCGACTCCTCGTGGGTTTGAAGGCATCCGTCCCTCCCGAGGAGACACCGCCAGCGCACCGCTCTAGCTTCTCTCCATCTGTAGTAGGAGGGGGCGTGGCCGGAAGAGGTGCTTTCCCGGCCTGCCCCGCGCTGCTCGGAAGCGGAAGCGCGAATGTCTGAGGAAACCTCGGGCGGACGGACCGAGCGAGCCGAGCGGACTGACGGGCGGGCGAGCGAGCAAGCGAGTGCTGGCGCTCGGGCTGCGCGTGGCAGCCGGGCAGGCGCCATGGCACCGACACGGGCCGGGCTGGGCCTGGAGCTGGACGCGGCCGGTGAGATGCGCGCGGGGCGGACAGGCGGCCCTGGAGCGAAGCGAGCCTGGTGCTCGGGCTGCCCCGAGGCTGGCCCTGTCCTCCTCCTCCCTGTCAGAGAGCCGCCCTCTCGCGGCGACTCGTGGGTCACTGTCGGGGGTGGCGGCGAAGCAGGGCCGCGATCTCCTTTCCCCCCCGGGCGCGGCGGCGGCGGTAGCTCCTTGGGGTTGTCGAAGCGGAGCTTGTTGGGGCGACAGAGCCCTCCTTCGGCTGAGGGTCTCTTCAGCCTCCTCCTGCTGCTGCTACTGCTGCTGCGACTCTTTTAGTATTAAGCGGGGAGGGGCGATCCGTCAGCCAGCCTGGTGACCGAAAGAGTGACCCACATAATGTAGCCTTTCGGCTGGGAGATTTGCAGAATTTTACAAGCAGTCGATGTATATACACGCATATCGTTGGCTTGTCTCCTTCAAAAGCCAGAAGGCGCCATGCAAAACCCAGCAAGTCTCCAATGCTGGGGGGGGGGGCGGGAAGAGAGGGAGAAGTAAGACTTAAAAGATGCATGTTTTTTGTGACATTAGCACGACACATTTTGACTCAAGTGAGCCTTCTGCAGGGAGTTATCTGTAGAAAATATAAGGGCTCTGGCTTCACTGCACTTTAAAAACCTTGTAAAGCACGAAGAACTGAAGCAACTATGTGCAATAAAGGAATCCTAAGTAAATTGAGTGTCAAATGGAAAACAGTACTACTTCCTGAATGTTCATGAGTTCTGACTGCTCTGTTCTACGTGATCTTTTTACAGGTGAGCTGTCTTATGTTCATTCTGTGACCCTTCTGGAATGCCACTAAACCATGGGGGAAAACAGTCCTGAGAATGTCATCTATTACAAAGTGGAGGAAGATGACTTGGCCCAGGATGATAAACTGTTGTGGTTTGTGGACAAGAATGGCCTTGTCCCATCCTCATCCAGGACAGTGTATGACAGAACAACAGTCCTCATTGAACAAGACCGAGGGCCATTGGAGGACGAGGAGGATGAAGGGCAGTGTGGGGATCACTTGCCTTTTCTACCTGATGGTCACGAGGACAGATTTCCTTTGATAGCTGACCATGAAGGAATGTCCCAGGGTTATGTTCAGCACATTATTTCTCCGGATCAGATTCATCTGACGATCAATCCTGGCTCAACTCCTATGCCACGAAACATTGAAGGAGCCACCCTTACTTTGCAGTCAGAGTGCCCTGAGACGAAACTGAAAGAAGTAAGTAGCAGACTCTAATCTAATCCTGTTCCTCTATCGGGAGGCCTGTCATATGACTGTATGAAAGCCTGTATTGCTTTTTGTGTTGCATTTAAAACGGGGTCAGTTTTGGAAACGTCATCATCCGAAAACGCTCGAGAAAACAAATTTCCTGATTCTGTAGTGTTTGGCCTTTTCCCATACTTGTGTAAGAGAGGCCATGCCTAAGCTGATCCTGGATGTTTTCACATGTTGCTTTTCAAGTCAGGTTTATATAATACAAAAATGCACTGTTACACTTCCAAGTATCTTTAGGGAAAGGGTGAGCAGAGCTTCTCAGGTTTTGGGGGTGAGAGAGAGCAGTGTTTCCCTTTTATAGCAGGCATATAGACTTGCCTACTTTCCATACTAAGCAGTGCATGGTTGAAGGGAAGCTTTTGCTACTTTTTCATGCTATACACCCTGCTTTGGGAGTTTTCACAATAGTAGAACATTATCGCTAGGGCTGTGTGTGCCATGTGTGATTTTTTAAATAACAGTTTCTGCACTGGGATAGAAAAACAAAAATCTATGACCAATATACATTATTCAGGTTTGCGCTGAGTGCCACATCCTGTAATAATGTATAGTCAACACTGTGCATGGGTGAGACAGAACAGACAATAACGGAGAGAAGCTCCGAACTGTCTGAGTTTTGATTTATGGATTAGCAGGATGGTGTATGCTTTAGAGAAGCAGCTAAGAGATACTTCTTGACTTAAATCTTGGAATGACTCAGAAAATAATGAAGAGGGCCTTTAGTTTTTGGAGTGCTGATAATGAACAAAATTCCTCAAGCTTTATTTTTTATGAATTAATCTATCTTGAATTTAAGGATGTTTTATTTTTATTTGTTCAATTTATAAACAAGCAGGCACATACATTGAAACTGGCTTAAGATTTAAAAAACAGAAAAATCCTATTTTTAAAAGGCAAGATTTAAACATTACACCCAATCAAGGCCACAGATAATTAAGAGCCAAAGTCCTAGCGAAAAATAATTGTTTTGCCTGACATTTAAATCAGTTATCATACATCCAGTTAAGGGAACCACCCATTAATGGTGCATCAGTCTTATCTGAATTGTGCTTCGGTTTATTGGCTCTCATCAAGACCATTACCAAGGCAATCCACTGCTGTACCCAGAAATGTAAAGGAGAAGTAGAACTTCTCTTATAAGGAAGCAGATTGAAACTTTGCACAAACAGAATCCTGAGAAAATGGGTTTAGAAGATTTTTTCTGGCCCTTTGAAATCGTAGGTTGCAGTTTTAAGTCTGCAGATCTTAAAGCTGCTCTTTTGGTTTCAATATGATGGCCACAGTGTGGTTTGATGACTTCAGCCATATATAAGCCCAGTACTTCTGCAGATTTAGAGAAGGGCTGAAAGTTCTTTTGATATACCTTTTGCCTTCTCAAAAAAATTTAGGAATATTGAGACTGACTTAACTTTAGGTATAATAGAATAACTATCTCTTTCTCCTGCTCTTATGGAGGACAAAATCCACCAGGAGCTTCTAGTCTATTGCCTTATGTGCAAATGATAATTGAAAGCAGCTGCTTGGGAAATGATGGCGGAAGAATACATATTTGTGTATGTCTGAGAATTACAGAAGGGGGCAGCATTTAATAACCTATCCTGAAGGAAAACTACTGTTCACATTTGATTATGACAGGGCCTTCTCCATGCTGGTGGGCTCCCAACTCTCATGTCATCCCTGGCCATTGAGCAGGCTGGCTGCTGGAATTTAGAGTCCAGCACACAGGTGTTCCCCACCCACCCCGGTGTGACTAATACTTTGTTTAGTTGTAAATTAACGTAACTTAGAAGTCACTGTTTGGGAAATATATGAATTAGTATCAATGGGAAACTTGATTTGATGCGTATGCCCCTTTGTCAGAGTCCCATTGGCACATTCTGTTGCCAACCTGATCTGACCTGCACATGGAGAACAAGCGCACCCTGTGCCAAAGGGAGCTTCCTTTGAAAGTTGTGCTGCTGACTGCTTTGGGAACCTGGCCAGAACCACAAAGTCTGG